CAGTCTGGCGATATAACAGTCGTTCAGCGCTTACTCGACAACGGTGCTAATGCTTCAGCGCTAGGAGGCCTGCTTGGGTCAACTGTAGCTGCTGCAGTTCGTGGAAACGACTTGGATGTGATGCGGTTACTCATAGAACATGGAGCCGATGTGCATGCTAAAGGAGGCAAGTATGGAGATGCTCTCCAAACAGCAGCAATGAAGGCCGATATGACCATCATCGACGAATTGCTTGATCGGGCTCCCGAACTTGTCAACCACCACGCGGGCAAATACCATACTGCTCTTGTAGCTGCCTCTTACTTTAGCCGCATTGACGTGGTCGTCAAGCTGCTAGATGCTGGGGCAGACTTCCGGGTTCAAGGGGGGATGTATCGAAGTGCCATCGCCGCGGCTTCCATCAGAGGGAACAAAGCCATCCTTGAGAAATTCCTTGCGATGAAGCCTCCAGACCACTTACTGGACGAAGCTCTCGTCGAAGCCTGTGCCTATCGTCAATCGGCTTGCGTTGACGCTCTGTTGAAGGAAGGTGCTAACGTATACGCCCGGCATCCGACTAGAGGATTGGCGACTGAAGCACTTGATGCCCCAGAAGAGGAGGGACTTAACTCAGATTTGGAGGATGATGATGGAGAGGACGACGAAGACTCCGACGAGGAGGATGAAGAAGATGACGAGGATGACGAATGGGAGGCCGATGGTGTCTCCGTGTCGGAAAAGACCGACGAAGGCAGCGTCACCGACCTGGAACTGGAAGAAGAGTTGTCTGAAGAGGTGAAGATACGGAAACTATTGAAAGATGCACAGGACCGCTGCAAACGTTACCCGACGGTGAAGCGCTTCAGAACCGTGAAGCGCCGAGAGGTTCCAGCGAGTCTCAGCGTTGGAATCAACCGCCGTCCTCCTGTACCGCCATTGCCTTCGACGGCGGATCAACGTTCTTCTAGCGTGCAAGACTATGCGATGAAGTCCGAGTCTGCCTACGGCCAGCACCCTCAAGAGCCTTGGAGTCTGCCTTTCCACCTCAGGCCAGGTAATGTAGAGGCTCCAACTCATACTACCAACGCAAGCTCTCCACCTCCAGTTCCATCTTATGCTGGCTATCCTGCCCCGTTATTTGCTCAAGGTAAAACGCAGTCGCCATCATCAACGCCTGAGCGGATGCGATCACCCATGGAGCACCGACAACGGCAATACTCGGCCTCGTCTCTAGTATCAGAAAGACAAAACTCAGCTGGATCGATACCTAGCGTGCCTCAACCTAATAGGAAGGCAAGCGCGGATAACGGACTCAAAAGACAGAGTAAGGCTGTCAACCGCAAGTCAGTCGCCAACATGGAAGCGCTCAGCCGGTACCATCAACAGCGGCAATCGGCTTACATGCCACCTCTGGATCAATCAATTTCACAGCACGACTATGCTACGCCTAGCCAACAGGTTGCGTCCCCACCACCTCAATACGAAACCCCTCCCATGGTTCCGCAAGACAGCTATACTGGGGCTCCGAACCAATCCTACCCACCGCCGATGCCACAGCGACAGTCGCAGCACTTCGTTCAGCCACAGCAATGGATGTATCAAGGGCCACCACAGCCACCGCAACAGCATTATTCACCCCACACCTCGCCCCCACCACCTCCACATCCGGTGCAGCAACCTTACGTACCCTATCCTCATCAGAGTCCAGCCTCATCTACGACCTCATTCCAGAGCAGCCAGTACACGAACACTGGTAGCCAACCAGCGCACTGGGATACGCCGAACTCGAGTACAAGCACATTCGGCAACGCGCACGGTCAGGGTGAGGCGCAAGGGAGGAGGTGGGCCAGTGGCGGGTACGATGGGTCGGGGTATGGATGAGGAGTGATTAATGTTTGGGGTTTTGTTTAGGCGATTTAAGGCGTCGTATCGTGTCAGTTGGTACTGGTAACATGACATCTAGCAGAGGAACGCTAGAGAAGTTCTGGACGATCTCATTGAGGAGATGATGACGTGGAAAGGGAAAGAGGGAGGGAAGAGAAGACCAAACAAACGACTATAGGTCTACCCACGCCTGCTTTATATCAGGGCGAGGCTACTTTGAAGCCATCTCACTACGAGACACGATGACAGATGAACGGGCATGGTGCTACGGCAAGATGTCAGTAACGTGGAGCTGGGCACATAGCCATTGATAGCCTTTTGCTTGTTGCAAGAATGTATCAATAAATAACCACCTACGCCACCTTGCCGTCTCTAATTAGCCCACTCAACGTCTCATTCGCAACTGTGTATGCCGCAAACTCATCCTCGTACTTGGCCACCAATAAGTCGCTGACTATGCGCGCAAACACGACCTCACCCCAAGGGTTCAAATGAGTCCGATCCGTCCCGGTTGTGCCATTCTCACCCCAGTTGTAGGTATCTGCTCCTTTCTGACCGATCGCGTTCACGTAGGCGGTCGACGCCTTGTTTAGATCGATGACGTGCAAGTCGTTGGACTGAGCTACATCTAGTGTGATTGCGGTTTCGTTGGACAGGTTCTCGATGACGCGTTTTGTTGTGGTGTTGAATGTGCGGCGCGTTAGGGGAGTTACGAGGATGGGCGTAGCGCCTGCTTGCTCGACTTCGGAAGCAAAGGTCGCGAGGTTGTTGCGGTAGTCTGTTAGGGAGACTCCAGAGGTGGGTTTTTGGTCATTGTGGCCGAACTGTTGTGGTGTTAATTATGTATTCTTGACCCTCTCTTCTTACACTGGCATACCTGAATCGTCACGTAGACTTTGTAGTCCTCCTTGTATGTGCCGATGTCTTTGGTGACGCTGGCCCAATCGCCGCCGGCACGGAAGGATCGCGTTGTCGCGCCGCTGTGCCCGTAGTTGTGTCCTGATGAGCCGGTCGCAACAGTCTTGGAAAGAAACTCGTCGCCCCATCCGCCGTTGGTTGCTGTTGTTGAGTCGCCAGCTAGCAGCCAATATATGGGCTTCTCGGCTTGCCTGGAGATGATTGCCGGTGCTGCAAGAGCGAGAGGAAGAAGAGAGAAAGATGTTATGCGCATGATGAATGTTTGCGATTACTTCTGAGGGACGATGAAATGGACCCTAGGATGTGAGCTTGAAGTGGTACATATGTACGTTGTTAGCAGGGCGACAGCTACCCATGCTCAGCCATGAAGCCGGCGGAATGGAAGACATAGATCTTCCAAATTTGCGTTACGATATTGCATCTTCGCTTTGCCTGAAGCAGCTCTACAAGCGCTCGTGATGCGCGGAAGGAATTCCAGAAGTTGGGTGGTGGTTGTAGATCCCCGTGAAGCTGGAGTAGATGGGGAGGGACTTGCGGGGTGCGCCGCTAATCGTCAGGCACCTCGCGGTAATGTGGCCCGAGGACGTTAGTAGCGTCATGGGCAGAACATCCTCAAACTCCATACACTGATGTCGCATGGTGTTACTAGCAGTGCAAGATTATCAAATACTATTGCATAGCGTTTAGACCTTCGATGGCCGGCCAGGCAGAAAGTCTCGAAAGTGACCTTGATCGATGCAAGGCATCCACGCTTTCAAATGCTGTGTGGAACAACGATTCAAGATGGAGACGAAATTAGGAAGACAGTGGTCGATTTGTATAGGCTGACCGTAGAAGCTCCAGCTGTATGAGAAAGCACAAACGGATGTACTCCAAGTCCCACCGGCACGGATGCGAATACCATACGACTTCCGATCAGGTCCGACCTGCTAGGCGGCAGCGCAGCTCAAAGATTTGCAGGTGCCGCCAGGAAGACCACTCTCTAGAATGTCTTTTGACTCCAATACGATGCTTTTCGGAAACCAGATGGGCGCCGCTGTACAAGCTTTGCCTAGGCTTTTCTCGTCCTTCCTTCCACCTGCACATCTTCTAGCTTACTCCACACTGCTTGGAACCGAGCTGTATCAAAGTTTCGTAATGACCAAAGTTGCCTACCAAGCTCTCCCCAGATCAGCTTTTACGACTTTGCAGAAGCGTGTCTTTCCGATATACTTCCAAAGTCAGTCAATCCTTCTGCTCATCGTCGCGGCGACGTTCCCGCCTCATGGGCCCATTTCGATATTCCAAAAGAGAGGAGATTTGATAGCTCTCGCCATTGCTGGGGTCAGTACAGGGTTCAATTTGATCGTTTTTGGCCCCAGGACACAGGCTTTGATGATTGAGAGGGTCCACCAATGTAGGCATTACAGCGCGCTCAAATCGACATTTGATGGCTGATGCATGAACTAGCAACTCGTGACAACAAAGCACAGCTCAAGGGAACTATTAGCGATGATATGAAGATTCTCAATCGAGCTTTCTCTAGGGGTCATGCAATGAGCATACATCTGAACCTTATCACGATTGGAGCAACGATTTGGTACGGGCTGCGTTTGGCATCGAAGTTACAATTCGAAACTGGTTGAATTTGGTGAAGGTGGAGCTCTCTGGCGGTTTTAAGGTTCAGGATGATCAGGTAGTGAGCTCTGGGGATTTTAAGCAACTGAGAAATGATGTAGAATTTGGAAAGGTTGTTGATCAGGAAGGACTAGTGTTCTATCGAGTGCTTGTTCAATACGAATGGTTTCGCATGATGCAGTGCGACAATTATGTTAGTTTCATGGTCATTGATCTGGCCAACGGAATCCCACCCAGGTAATCTAGCGCTGATGAGTCATCCAAGGCGCCCAAGCACTACCGGCGGCCGGATGTTAGTCTTCGTCCCGTCCCGGGTTCGGTATGACATTCGCGCTCCTTTCGCACCTGCATCGATCCTGCGCCATCGCATCGGATGGAAGACACTGAACAACCCTCCGCTGCAAGAGCGGGTACATCGCGAACTACTCAAGCGTGCCAGCGATGTCGTAATCTAAAGACGCGATGTTTGCCAAGCGCCCAAACTGGACTATGCCAAAGGTGTGCTCCATCCAATCAGCGTGTCGGTAGCCCAATCGTCGCTCCCTATCGTCACTCCACACTATCTGAACCTGGCTATTCGCAAAGTGCTGACCACCCACAAGATGCTTTTCTGCCGGCAAAGAGTGCACTTGGGCCGAAGCGCCACGAAGGACAAGGAAGCTGCGGGCGCCCTCGTAAGTCGCTGTCTATTCCTGATTGGTCTTGACTTATACTGTTGGCAGCCGAATCGCGCAGGTCGAACAGAAGATCGATGGGCTCGTTGCTAAACTCGTCCATGCCGCTGCTGAAACTGAACTCACAACCGACTTTGCAAGTGCATCACAGCCGACTCCTGTAGAAACCAGAGCAGAGACGTGGCAGAAACGGGGAGTAATTAACGTCACACCGGGAAGCTGGATACCGACACCATCTTTCGAGACCGGTACCTTGCAGCATGAGAACAGCACCGAGGCCGCGTCAGAAAGTGCTGAAGCCGATCGACAGTACCTCGAAAGTCTTCGCAGCATACACAGATACAGTGATCGTGAAGATGCTCCTCCGGCTCCTGAGGGGTTTTTTAGGCCGTCAAAACGCCCCGAAGCACCCATTGAACACGAAATTGTTCAACAAATGCTGTGTTCAGGTGAAGCTGACGTATTGTTGAACGAGTATCGTAACATGTCGGCAACGTTCCCTTTCGTAATGCTACCTCCGCAGATCACTGCTGAACAGTTGCACGAGCACAGACCTATGCTCTTACTGGCTGTCATTCTGGTATCATCATGGAAAGAACACACACGCCAGATGCAGCTTGATGGTGTCTTTCGCACAGAACTTGCTCATCGAACGATTATCCAACCCCGCAGGACACTGGGCCTAGTTCAAAGTGTATTGGTCTACTTGTCATGGTATGCCAGTGCTCACATTCCGTCATAAGATGCTAATCGGTATAGGTATCACTTCGTTTTTAGCCACAAAACACAGCAGATATTCTTCTTACACAACCTCGTCACAGGACTGGCGCTCGATATTGGTCTGCATCAAGACTTCCAACCTATTGGCTTTCCAATGCCACAGCGGCCTAAAGCTCCACCGCCACCGCCTGGAGAGTTGCGCGAGAGACATCGTGCTTTCCTGGGTTGTTATTACCTTTCTTCCATGTAAGTATCGCAATGGTACCTTCTTTGATCCTATGTTGACTTGAAACAGGGTCGCTACAGGCTTACAGAAGCCAAACCTGTTAAAACATAACTCTATCATGTCAGAATGGGCGCAAAGCTTGAAACAGAATCGAGAGTACGAGACGGACGAGACTATCAATCTGCTCATATCTTTACGGCAGATCGATGACCAAGTACAAGATGCGCTCTTCACAGCCGATGGTTCGCAGCTCCCAATTTCCGATGGGCGAGCATTGATGCATGTCCGATTTATAGATGCACAACTCGATACATGGAAGAGAGAATGCGACGGTGTTGCATCACAAAGACTACTCGAACTTTCTTTCTCGTACGCTAAGATGCAACTACATAGCGTAGCTCTTCGCTCGTCGCCCTCGGAGCTACCGGCGTCGGTACGTTCATCGCAAATCAACAGCTTACTCTCGTCACTTGAGGCCGGCAAACGATTCTTGGATACACTCCTTTCGTTTCCAGCTCAAGAGTATCACCTGATATCGTTCTCGGAATGGATGCGTTTGCCCGCGGTCATTATGACGGTCGCCAGACTATGCATCCCCTCTGAACAACATGCCACCATCGGATGGGACACTCAAGCTGCGCAAGACAGGGTGCGCCTAGATCTCTGCCTTGAGTCAATCTGCTATCGAATGTCAACCCTAACGGCCTTTGATAAGACAAAGCGGCCTGAGACTGACTTCTGGCACGCTATGCAAATGATCAATGATCTGACGAAGAATTGGTACATTCACAAGATCCGACCGGAGCGACCTAGCCAGACACCATCAATGCCCACATCCGGCGACTCGATCGAGCACAGTGTAAGCGAGGGCTCATGCCCTATCACTGGCGCACCTAGAGTGCATTCAACCCACCATGCGAGCGACCGATACAACCACTTACCTGACACCAACTATATGGATGAGTTCAACATGGAAAGACCTCCCGACACTGAGGCCAACAGCGACCCTTTTGCGCTTATGAGAAGTGCCGATTTCGACATGGGCCAGTTCTTCGATATGGCAGGGAGCATTTGGGGGGAGGACAGCTACAACAGCTATGCTGGCATGTCGTTTGGAGGTGGTGGTCAGTTCTGATCCCTGGGCTTGAATCATCGACAGTGTGACACAAGCAGTCATGTGCGAATAGTTACAGCATCTTGAAGCTATGCAAGACGTTCGCTCGTGCGGATGCAACACTGGCATCGCAGATCGTTTGCCGACAAGCTCGTGGGCACGTCTCGAGGCCCTGTTCCAAATAGGTGTAGCGCGATTGCTGATCCTGCGTTCTTTGTACAAGAGATATGTATCTTTTGTCCGCTGTATCGTAGTCATCAAGGCTGGAAGTGTATTCATGCTCATGTTACTGTCCAAAGCAAATCGGCTTCAACCACGCTCAACCTCTCTAGGTACGTTTCAGTGCCGAATACATCTAGAAAAAGATAAAACGATCAAAGGACAATTTCCTTCGCCAGACACAGAAACAAAGCATCGCGTACTTCCGCTTACCGCTAATTCATACCTTCCTTTCTGACACTAATCCGCCAACCCGGCGCCGTCCAATACCAGTCCCAAGTTACCACCTACACTGCACCCCGCAATCCAGGTGTCAGTTTCAGATGCCACGAGCACGCCACGCGTGGTTTGGAAACTTGTGCTAGTCCTTTACGGGCCGCGAGATGGTGGTGTCGCTTGGAAAAATGTGATTGGCTGTAAACGTAAAATTGTTGACGCTTGCACTGCTGGGCGAGTCGGCGATCGCTAACCGGTTTGCACGTGCAGGGGCCAGCCCGGAAATTCGTCGCATGTGTGACATCAGCTGGACCCTGCATTCACGCCTTGAAATTTAGGACGTTGACGCGTTTGGGGTGTATTCGCTATAACAGGTCGAAGATATATCTTGTGTGACGTACTCGCGGTCGTTGCAATTTGCAAGAGTGTTAATACTCGCAAGACCCTTTGCCTTTTTCTTGCAAATCACCATACTTCCATCTTGCACACCCGCTCGATTCGCATATTACCATGAAAGCCTTCAAGAGCTTCGTCAACAAGCGTCGGCAGAGTTTCCAAAACCGCGGCAAAAAAGAGAATGATCCAGCACCGGCACCGGCACCTGCCAACGCCAACGCCAACACCGAGAATGAGAAGCGCGCAGCCGCTCCGGAAGCCAACGCTGAACAGCAACAAGTAATGGCTGAAGCCGCACCTGGCACTCTTCAGTTGGCACTGCAGAACAAGTCCAATTCCAGCACCGTATATGCATACATTACAGGCCTTGCTCTGGAACGGAACAACACCCCCCTCTTTGTGAAAGCAGACGGCCAGTCCATCTACTATCCAACAGCGCCCAAGGATATCCAGCAACCACTCCAGGCCGACGTTGCTATTCCACTTGGGGCTCCTGGCAACACTGTCAACGTCAGGATCCCAAAGATCGCCGGCGGTCGTATCTGGTTCAGCATTGGTGCAAAGCTTACTTTCCTCCTCAACCCAGGTCCTGCAGTTGTAGAGCCCAGTGTGACCAACCCCAGCGACCCTAACTTCAATATCAACTGGTCTTTCTGCGAGTTCACTTACAACGACGCGCAACTGTTCGCAAATATTAGCTATGTCGACTTTGTCAGCATTCCTGTTGGGCTCAGCTTGACCAACACCCAAGGCAAGACCCAAACAGTGCCAGGCATGGGTGCCGATGGCATGCGGAGAGTCATAGAAGAGTTGCGTGCGCAAGCCAAGCGCGACGGTCGACCTTGGGATAAACTGATCTACGAGCACGACGGACAGCCATTGCGAGTCCTGAGTCCAAACAACCTTCTCGTCGGAAACGCCGATGCATGGGGTAACTACTGGGACGGCTACATCCAGGCGGTATGGAACAAGTACCGTAATGAAGACATGATCATCAACACCCAAGCCGCAGCTGGCAATCTCAAGGGCCGTGTCCAAGGCAACGAGCTTCAGCTTGGCCAAGCAGGAAACTTTGCTGCTCCTTCAGCTAGGGATATCTTTACCTGTAGCACTGGACCATTCGCGACTGGATCGAATCAAGCGCGCAATGCAGTCATTCCGCGCCTCGCTGCTGCTTTCAACCGTAGCATCTTGCTGAATACACCTGGTGACCAGTTCCCGAATGGCAGTAACCCAGGCCAGTACTACAAGGACCCAACAACCAACCACTACTCGCGCATCGTTCATCAGGTCCAGAAGGACGGTCGTGGCTATGCATTCCCGTACGATGACGTTGTTCCGGATGGCGGTCAAGATGTTGCTGGCACAATCTTCGACGGCAGCCCGAAGCTGTTCACTATCGCTGTCGGTGGCCAGTGAGCGCACATCTTCGGTGCGGACGTGAAGGATTGGTGATGTATTTACGATATGATGAGTACATATTCTATATGCTTCTGTATATGCTTGTTCACAGACTTTGGATGACGTGGGGATTTGAGAGATGAAGGGAGGGTATATAGTTGGCTTCTAGTACATATTTGATGATTAATGGATTTTGCATACTTGCCCTGATGTTTCTTTTCATGAATCGTTGCTTTTGATGATCACCAAGGCAGTGTGCACGTCCCGAGGTCTGCCGTGCCTGTCACATGCCAACAAGTACCTAGCGCTTACGTCACTGGTCTGGCAAGTTAGCCTTGCCAGCTGGCTAGAACTTCACCTACGCACATAGCGTAGATGCGCGACAGGCCAGACCGAGAATTCCGATATGAAACGATTACTTCCAACACCAGTCACTGTGGACTAACAGATGCCAAGTTCTAGCGGGAAATGACGTCACCAAGATCGCCAGACAGTCTACGCGTTGTGTCGACAAAGCACATCTTTCCAGCCGCAGACTTCGACTTTCGCACCTCTAGGCCTTGACTGCTTGGGTTTTTACACTTAAACGTTTTTAGCTGCAATTCGTCCCGTCCCTTACTCTACAACCTGGACGAATATTTCTTCCCTTCACCGAATATTGGGTTTTATGACTGGAGACCTTCAACTTGCAATAGCATATCAATGAGAACCGCCCCAAGCCACTCTATCATCAAAGTACTACGAACAGAATTAAAGCTGATGCTCTGAGTTCCCAGTTTGATCACTGTATGATGGGAGAGTCCTTGTGAAGAAACCAGGTTGAGCATCAAAGGCCGTGCGGGCGCGTTTGACAAGTATCCATCCAAGAAGGCTACCATCTGCACCTTATTTCTTGTCTCCTTCATCGATTTCCTACAACAAGTATTGTCCTTGCTCGGATGTACCTTTCTTGGCCGGCGTGCTGCGTTCACCATCAACTATGGGGGCGCTGCTTCAATCGGTCTAGTAGAAGGCATTTTCTAGCTCGAACAGTTGATGTTATGGATATTTAATACCTTTCAGAAGCACTGACAGTATAGAACACACCCGTGGTTGACCCGATAGAGTGCGTCTCATCCCACATCGTCCTTGCGACAAAGCGCCATGAGTAGGGTCGCATTCACTACAGATGCGTCACGCACACACCACAACACGCGAACGGTCAGATGGTCTCCCATCACGACAAAAAACGACTCTCTGATACTCTTTTGCTGCACCTCTACGCCCCGACTGGTCATCTTCCTGATTTCCGCCCTTTCAACCTCCGCGAACACGTTGGAATTGTAACCCTAACGAGGACGCATATACTTCGACCGCATCATGAGCTCAGCATCATCCGGAGCTGAAGGACCACAGACACCTGAAGATGTGGGAAGAGATCAACCGGAGCCAGAGATTGATGAACTGGGTCGCGTCAGGGTTGCGAACAAGTACGCCACGATTATTGCATCCAGACAGGCATACGGCCAACTCTTGTCGCCGGGACGGAGAAGCCGCATGGAATTGTGGGTCGAGCGTCTGCCCTACGACTGGCATTTTGAGGACGCGAACACAGCTTGCCTGATTGCAGTCACAGTGTATAAAGACTGGCTAGATTGGTCAGAGTCGAAAGCATTCTCCTGGCTCGACAAGCTCACCAAGTTTGAGCGCCGCTTTAGAGTTGCTGGGGTCGCATATCACAAGATTCCGTATGCGCTGCGACATGCCTCAACTGTTACTAATAGCTACCGAATAAACCCTGTCATCTTAGTACGTCTGAGTCAAATATTCGAGACCGATGGTCCACGTGCTCAGCAGTCATTCTTCCGCCCGTGGATTCAAATCTCCAATGCTGCCAAGGAAGTGTTAGGAAATTTGATAGCGAACAAGAACGAACCGGAGGATATTGATCGGCTTCGCATACTGGAGTCTGGATCCGAAGTTGCGTTGTCGTTGCTAGCAAATTCACTGCCTAACTTGGAATCTGCATTGGCGTGGGTCGAGGAATACGTCGCAGACCTCGCTGATCGCTCCGACATTGATGGAAGTGACAATCTGGCCGCCAAGCATAGCCGTGAAGGAGGCTTGTTTCGGAGATGGATACAGACCTTCACAGAAATTGAGTTGGGCACGGTACAATCTCAGTCTGAATTCACGGAAGGTTTCGTTGATGCTGTGTCAGGAGATGAGGATATTGTGGAGTATAAATACTAGGATGCGTTGGCGAAAGCGATGTGAGTCTAGCGCTCAGCACCGCAGCGTGAGTTTGGAGGAAGAACTAATGATACAGCAACTCATCCAGCCCACAAGACTGTGAGTTGCTATTAAATCCGCGTCATGTCTGCGTTCCTAGTCCTATAAAGTTTACTATCTCCAGCTTGCGATCGACATTTGCGATAAATTTAGAGGGAAATTAGGCGATGAACAAGGCAAGCGAGTACACAGTGTTAATGAAGTGCACATTGTTGTTGATGAATTTGCATAACGCTCGTTGTCGCAACATCATAAGTCGCGTTGATGCGCAATCTCTCTTCGTTGTTCCTAGAACTGCGCAACCGAAAACACGCAATAAGGTCTTCGGCCCGATCCGTATTGTAACGAGGAATTGGCTGGATACTACCATCATGTGTCGGCAATGTACGACTATAGATCCGGGTTCAGAGGAGTCATGCTCAATAACCTTTCGCATCCGCATCCGGGACATTTTGAACCGTATCGATCATCTCTTACGGAGTTGCAACAATCTTGAAGACCGGTATAGAGAGGCAGGTATCGTTTTCCACAAAACCGAACGTGCATGTCGCCTTGCATGCGAACGGAACACCGAGTGGGCAGCTCTTTACACCCCCCTCGAAAAGGCTTTTCTTATTGATAGCTACGAAGATATCTTTGCTCCTCTCAAGGACATGGTTACGCGTCTCATGAAACTTCGCATCAAAGTGCAGCATGTTCCATCGGCTGCTACGGCGGGCGAGCTCATGGTTGCGTTTTGGCATGACTTGGCTCCTCCGACCGATGCTCTGATAGCGGAGTTTGAGACGTTCAAACAGTACATCAGTAAACTTCAGTCGGACGCTTATACCCTACGGTTGTTCAACAAGAAGTATTTTCAGGTGAATGATCTGGGCGTTCATAACGCTTGGTATGATCCTGTAGTGGATATGATCAACAACAAACGAACTGTGCGGAGCCGTGTCGGTGAATTCACTCTGTTTGCTGACTGGGTTCACAGCTTACCAGAGGCGCAGCGCGCTCTGGAGGTGCAAGCTGGGCATGATGGATTCAATCCTTCTGGGACTCTATTTGAAGACAGGCTTTTTGCTTATTCGATGGACTTGATCTGGCGTACGAATGAGAGGTTCATACCTGATCGTCGTCAGCCCAGTCGTGGTATGCAGCACGACAGAACTTGATTTCTCTCGATGAATATGGCTTTTCATGTTTCGTGTGCAGACCACGGCATTTTTTAACCCTAGGATAGAAAGCCTCTTTGAATTTGCGGCGTATGTAACGAGATAACTAGTAGTTTGGACGCCAACCAAGTTTTTGTACCGTTATGAAATCCAACTACCGTGGCTTCGAGTAGGATAACAATGGGGAATGGCCATCAAGAGATCGAGCGTCGTCGGAAGTGAATTGCACCAACAAAGTGATCTAAATGCAATGATGAAAGATGGGCATACAGATGCAAGATGGAGGAACTGCCGATTACCCCAATCAAAAGACCACCACCATTGCAGATTTCGACTTAATCAGCATCCTGACCTTTCGGATCGTCGATGACCTCGGGACCATTTTTGAAAACATCCTCATTCTCCATCTTCCAGTATTCGGTAAACCTGGCTATCCAGTCGGGATGTACGCAGCCCAAATCCTTGGCTTTGACGCCATACTGGATGGGATAATGGATGCCGAAGTATATCCTAGAGGCTACTTCCAGTGGCTTCTCGTTCCTGGCCATCTGAACTGCGATAGGAAGTTTCTGGAGTGCTTGTTCGCCTGCGACTAATTGTGGGTCACATCCGTACGAGTAAGCAATGGCATGTGCCTCTGGCCAAACGCCGGGCTTTGTGGTGGCAAGATTGCCGTAGGTTGAAACCGGACTACGAAAGTTAGCCCATGTAGAATCAGGATAAGTCATTATGCTTACACAGCATAGCAGAAGTCTCTTTTACGTTTCACGACGATGAAAATTCGCACCTGAGCGGGTGCTATGTCGCTATGCTTTACTCGAGTGGACTGGTATAGACCAGTCACATCGCCGTAGTGATTAGTCAAGAGATCGGCAGAATCATCCTCGACGGCTTCGTTGAAAAGCATAGCAAACATCTGGAAGGATGGTTAGCCTAACGGTCACAGTTATGTTCAGTTTTACTCACCCTTCCTTCTATAAAGAAGGCCTGATTTCTGACCCGGAAGCCTTCTAGTCGTCAGCTATCACGCCAAGATTATGAGAATACTATACTTACTTGAATCCGGCAATTCGTAAACGTCCCACATTGAAGTATCTTCGTTCAATACCGTGGAATTTGGCTCGTATTCTGTCTGGGAAGCTATTGCCTCACGACTTTGATTGGTATCACTATGATCGTTGCGAGGGCTCATAATTCTCCACCCTCCAGCGTTTGCGATACTGGACATAAGCTCTTTCGCTGCCATAACATAGGCAATGCTCCGATTTTTAGATGTCGCAATAATCATGCCATACAATTCTCTGCCAGCCTTGTCGGAGACCAGCGATCCGCTATCACCATTCTCAATCACACCCTCGTGAGCAAGTTCGTGAATCAACTGAAAACGTTCACTGCCTGAAAGACTCATGATTTTCGGAACAGTCCTGAGGGTACCGGAGATGGGACCGCGCCTCGTCCATGTCGTGACTGGAGAAGACTTGGGTTCAACTGCATGTAATTGAGCGTCTTTTTCCCGGTTTGAAGAGGCGAGATCTACAAGCTCTTGTTGGATTTTGGAATCGTTAATAGTGATGATAGCGCAATCTGTGGAAATATCGAGGTCCTCATCAGTGGATAATTCTCCAAGTCTGAGTAGTCCAGATGGTGGGTCGTTGGCGATATCAAGAGATCCGTAAGGCATGGCCGATGCAGTCACAGGGACTTTTAGTGAAACTGGTGTTGTGCCTGCAGTATAAGAAGTCTTCTCGTTGCATTCTTCTTCTTCTTCACTGTCGCTATCAAACGGTATACCGAGATCGTCTATTCCGCTATCGATCGAAGGAGAGTCGCGATTCCATGGGCTAAAAACATGGGCGACTGTAAGATATTTGTAAGTTGCGCCGTTGTATATCAAGTTTCCGGTTGCCATTCTTGATTTTTTGGTAGCTGTGTTCACATGGATTGACATCGCTGTCGTCTGTAGCCGCTGTTCTGGGTCGTAGTAGGCTGTTTTGGAGACAGGGACACCTGGTTGGCTTGGCAGAATCGATTTAGTGTCTTCCCTGTTTTCCGAATCCAATCTTCCGGGTCTAGAGAAGGAAGAATCTGCTATTGAGTCACCAGAACCTTCACTAGACGATCGTGCAACAGCGTGGATGGGACCTGACGGGAGATACTTCAGAAATCCTATCTCATAGTTCAAATCCTTCAAAATGCCGCTGTTTTTGATAGCGCGTTCGGCCTCTTCGCGTGATCGCTTGTCCTCGCTTGAGATGATGATCATGGGCTTTGCCTTCTGCGGCGTCTTTCCGACCATAAAGAGTGATACAGCAACTTCACTGAAGGACTCTCGTCGTGACTGATTCAGTTCTTTCATTAGTTCTGTCTCTTTATTCTTGTAATCTTGCGCACATGTTCCCTTCGCCTCCCAGCATAGTTGGCCACGTTTCCATTTCGTGTTCGCTATGTGATCAACTTGAACCGGATTGTCGACATCAACTGAACTCTGATAATCCACTCGGATTCTTTGGCGCACCTTGGCACTGAATTGTGAAAGATTTGTCTCTGGTTTCGCGGACTTAGATGAGCATTGCTTCATCGTCACAGAACAGGCTGCCTGATTTGGGTCTTCGTTCTGGCCCTGACTAGCAAATAGCATCATTGCAGTGATGTGGTGGGTTGTAAACAAATACGGTTCGGCATATCATGGAAAACTATTTTATGAGAGTACTTTTCGAATATATCGCCTTTTCTTGCCAGATTATAACGTCCAAAGATTGCGAGTGAGCTGTGCTACCAACGAACCCCGCATTATAGTCTGGTAGCTAAGCTGCCCCAACGAACAACGCATCATCCGGTGAGTGCTCAGCCCCCAACGACGCCACATCTCTATGCAAACCTTGTCCGGAATGCAGAGCCTTTCGGGTACACAGCCCAAGGCATAAGTAGCTTATCATAATATGTCCTCACCTTTTTGTGTATCTCAAACGCACTCAATTACGAATATGTCCCTCTCCGGAAGTGCCAATGAAGAAATTCTACAGATTGCTTGTAAACGCAAGATTCTAGAAGCCTTTTGGCCATGTAGTACTGCGCCACTACTAGCAGTAAGAGACGAATGGGAGCAATGCCCGTGGAATGCGTATTTTCGACATTATACAGCAGAATGCATGAAAGCGATTGGACCCGATCGTGGCGAGCATGTTACCATCCGAGAGCATCAAGACGTCATAACGATTGTTCGACAAATCGAAGCAGGAGCTACGAAAGAGATGATAAAAAGATCACTTGCGTTGCTAGATACGCGGCAAAGAAGTGAGGAAGCTAGAAACCGTATGGCGGAAGGTTCTATTCGCCTTGTAGCGCGCTTGTTTCTGATGGTTGATGTGGGAGCTCCATCAAAGTATTGGATATGGGGTCCTAGTTTCTTGCCTTGGGATGACGAGCATGCCGATCTAAAGACCGTACTTGCGAATCACTTCGTCGTGAGCTCAAGACAGACTGAAAATCTGGTGTTTGAGGAAGAGTTCACCGCATTCAATCTGCAGCGCTTCACTGGGATAAGAATTCAATGGAGCAATAATCTCACCGATCATCTGCGACTGATCGACAACGAGCGAAGGCTTTGCATTTTCCATCATGCGACTTTCCTCCAGCATCAAACGAGGTCAGCCTTCATCCATCCTTTTTTTGTCAGCTACTAACTGGTATAGTGAGATCTTTCCAAAGAATCTCATTGACGAAACGCTTCGAACGTTGGACTTATTGTTCCCACGACAAGACACAGATACCCAAAGATGGTTGAAATCCCAACAATCGCGAGACGATGAAACTTTAGCTCCGGACATTTCGCTGCTAAATCGAAACATGATGTTGTCGACTGATCGCCGTGCTATAAACTTCGAGTACTGGCGCGATGAATTGATGAGCTTGAAGGAAAGATTCGATCAGCCTAAGCCGACCTCCCTCTCTCAATTCTGGTACGACCGAAGAAATCGGTCTCAATGGTACACTTTCTGGGTTGCCGTCACAGTCCTTTGTCTCACGGTCTTCTTCGGCCTTGTGCAAAGCATAGAGGGGGCTTTGCAGGTATACAAAGCATACCATCCAGTACCCAGTTAGACACAGGACCAACGTTACTTGTGATATCTGGGTGTATACCGCCGCATCAAGCTTGAAACTACTAGCATCTCGATTGTTCGTTCTTCTACAGGGATCAAGAACATCGCATAGCGTTACGTTCCTCTTCCAACAGGTCCGAGGCATCAGCGACAACGAATAGCGGTTCGACGGTAACGTTGAGTTTCGTGCTTCTCATCGGACCGTAGAAGTTGCATCCAACGTGGAACTGCACCTTGGAAGTATTCACTGTGGCTGACATCTACATGCTGATGGAATCAAATGTTGCGAACATCTTCAGGGTGCAGCACAATGAATATGAGCTCATCTGTCTGAATATTTACACAGTTGACTGAGGCTCGCGCAGTGTAAGCCCATCTGCTCCAGCCACCCCCGGTTATTCTTCATTAGCCATAACAATATGTTTTCGAGCTTCGACGTCGTCTTATCTGATAGTAGATGGTTGGATATCGTCTTCTTCCTGATCTTATTGCTTTACTTATGGGCATGCGTAGTATTGGGGGGCTGTACCGCAGCTAAGGTGGCGGCAAGCGCGCTGAACGTATTGTGGAATCACAAGTGCGGCTGAAATTGCCTATTTCCAGGCAATTATTCTCTGAGGAAGCCACAAACAGGGAAGAGCCCCATGCACATAGTAGCGCACTTGGTCCCATAGGTCCACGAGTTCAACCACAACAGCTAGGCACACCCTGACATACGCGTTTCCGGCATGACGAATACTTTTACCCATAATAATATGCTTTCGTCCTTGTCGCCTGTTGGCCCCCACAGATCACGGTATCCAGGGAGTAAGCAATACTATCACGTTACCACCCAAACAGTGATGTAACGGGGCTGCATGCATCAGCCGAGACCCAGCGCGGAACCGTCGTTCCGCGCTTGTTCCCGGCGGATGCCCCTCCCAAGATTCGGCCCGCCATCGCAGATTCACCGGAAAATGTGGGCAATGAAGGACCTCTACATAAGGAAAATGGCTAGACAAGATCGCATTTCGCCATGGAACTAGACGCAACTCTATTTCAACGTCGCAACTACGTCGAAAGGCAGAATTTTGTGTATTTGGAATGCAGGGCGATAGCGCTGAGGTCGAGACTAGGCATGTGAAAGTCTCAAGTGCCCGGTTCTGTTGCCACCAGCCGCCGTGCAGCTAATTGGGTTTATTTATTCTCGGCTCACAATCTCGTGGCCCTGTCAGATCAGGTCCTCGCTCGATTGCCTTCTTGCGTAAGAGCACCGATGCCTGCAAATCCAACCTAGCTAGCGTTTCACCTGCAGACTTTACGTCTGAATAGCACGGTACATAGTATTCGACTGTACGGAGTGTGCTATCCTCCAAAGGCATGGATGGTAGGGTTGCTAGAGTAGGTTGCTGGGGCTAGCGCTTGTGCGTGCGGGGTGCGACCGCGATTCTCGAGCAGCCGATAAGATATTGTCTGCTGCAGACTGCAGGTCATCTCCACATGCGCATGACTCTGTCAAAGCGGCGCTGTGTTTCGTATGGTGGTGACGCATGGCGGACGCCTATCCGTCGCAACTATACGTCAGAATTGCAACCCCCCTAGGCAGGTCGGCTGGATCTTTCCTGGAAGGCAGCCTGCTGTACACATGCCTGCAACCAATTGGTTATGCTTTTGATTGCAAAACTAGCTTCAGAGGTGACTCTTCTAGAGACTCACCCTGAGAGTGGCCTTGACAAGCTGAACGGAAGCTTGGTAATATGCATGTCCAACGCAGCCATCCATTCATTCGCTTGCGTGTCCCAACAATGGGTTGAAACGTGGAACGCAGAGATCGAAAAGTGATGAGTCTCCAAATAGGTGATCCGAGTCTGAGCGCGTCGGGGTTCGGATACAGTGGTTCGACCGGTTTGTAGATGTAATGACGGACCAGGGGCCTTTTTCGTTGAGAAGGCCATTTGTAATCTGTGACTTCCAGACATGGTCTTGTCAGTACAACCATGTCGTATGATTCACTTAGCTCTATGGTTGCTCCCTGTCAATTGCCTTGAAGTTCAGTACTCAACGTACTCGGATACGATGAAAGAAGAGTCCTGCAGGACTATTATTTCCGGTATACCTGTGTACAAATACAGACTGTTGTGATACAGGAACAAGGACATCGAGGCAACGCTGAGCAAAATATGAGATGCATAACCAAAATGCAGACCAAATTCCAAAGCACGCAGGGGAAAACCTCTATCGAGCAAGAATTCAATGATACCCCATGACTAACGAGACAGTCCATGATTCGGTGTGTTGGAATGAGAAAAATGATGTCGGTATATCATCTCAGTGACTAACACCAGACTCCTATAGGATGATACATGATATGCAAATGGAATTACGCATTGTACAAAACAAAACGCATAAGACAGCAAGATGAACATATGAAATGGGGAAGGATACATGGGACATCTCAACAAGCGAAGTAGCCTACATAACAAGACATCCATCCATCGCTGACTTCGAACTCTCGGTTTGTTGTGACTGGGACAACTGGAGATTCGAAGTGGTTAGTGACGTACACCAGTCTTTCTCCGGAGATTGACGAAGTTCAATAGTAGTATAGGTAGACATTCTTCGACGACGGTTTCGACTACCGGGATCGAAAACAGGCTGCGGAAAGTTGCTCGGCGAAAATGTAGTGCTGCTGGTATTCCTCGGTAAGACTGTAGGTACCATAGGATCTACCTTCTCGGTCACAGACATGGTGCGTCGCTTCCGTAAGCTATCACCATTGTGTGGTCTCTGGAATCGGCTTTTGTGGCGTGAAGTTGGTGATACTGTGTCCCAGCTAGTTTGCTCTCCCTCTTCGCGCTCGATGTATGATGGTGCATCGTTGCATGACAGAGATCGAGTAAGTTTTTGAGAGTAGTAGCGATGATGCAAGCTACCGCCACCGTCTGTGACAATGCTCCTGGTTGAGGTACGGTACCGCAGTGATTGGGACTTCAACACTATGCTCATTTGTTCTTTTCTTGTATCCCTAGGGAACGTGCGTATTACATTCGCGTGGTTATTTGTCTCTCGGTAGTCATGTGGCTCTACGATACTTGGAAGCGTAACGGTATCTGGTACACCTGTTGACTGAGTGCCGAGTAGCAATTGGCTCGTGCTACACGAATCAGCAATAGAGGGCACTGAGCTTGGCCCTTCTTCTGGAGATTTTGATAGAGATTGGCCTGTGGCATAGTCGAATACTGTAGAGTCGCCAGTATGGAAATACGTAGAATAGTCTTGAACCAGAAGCCATTTGGTGTGCTCCCACCATATCCCCGTGTCTGCGAAACCAAAGTCATACGTCGCTTTTAGACACAACTTCTCGATAGACGAATGATCCACGATATCGAACAGCCATTCGTCAATTTTGCTCATTTTCTCCACCCACTGCAGATGCTTGTGTGTAGGATGGACATCACGCGCGTCTCTTGTTGAGACCAATGCCAAGTCGTTCAGATTGCTACGTACAGAGCGGGATTGTGGAAATCTCACGCTCGCACCATGCTGAGTTACTAAATCTTGCTTTGTTGGAAACGTGGATGGCTCCAGGATGTAGTCAGCGATTGTCTCATCACTAGAAGCTGCAAGACTCGAGACTCTCGGATTGTCATCAGTAGTAGGTGCCGTAAAATTGGTCATTTGCAGGATTTCCAAGTTTTCCGCACTTTGAGTTCTGTCAAGTGTATCACTTGGTACGAGTTTGTTGTCCAAGAGCTGTTCAACAAACCTTGTCTCTCTGCGGGAATACTTCCATTCCAGTCTGTTGTAACTGTCTTCGGCTTCTTCGTAACCGACTTCCAAGAGGCCCTGCTGGTCCCTTAATGCGGATGCGAAAGTAAAAGCTTCTTCGATCTCCTGTGGCATGTCTGCACCTATATCATGAAGATATTGGCGCAAGAGGCTGAAGACATATCCGTCTTTTACACCAGTCTGTATATGGAGATCGCGAAGCTCCTTCCGCTTCGCGGCCACAGAGAATCGTGTACCTAACAACTTGTCACGAAGATCTCGTAATGATTGTTGCTCGTTTTCCAGTTTATCCAGAGACGCACTTCGCGGTACCACTGGCGTCAGATTCGATCGAAGTCCATTTGTACTGGTCATTGGAGGAGGTGGAGGGACATTCATTTCGGCAAATGAAATCGGCGGCGGCGGCGGAGGAGGATATATCATCACAGGTGGTATCCTCGAACGAGGCTGAACCGTATCTTTCTGGCAATCATCACCATCGTTGTGAAGCTCCACAGCCCGAGCATCGGGAGAGCTCGGGGCATCATCATGAAGCTGGCTCTCATCTGGCAATACCGTTGAACGCGTTGTATGTACAGGATCTGGCAAGTCCGATGGCCCAGTCACCTCTTGGAATTTCGCACTTCGATTGCCAAACGCTATGCTTATTAGAATGTTCCAAGCATCACAATGCCGGAAAAAAGATATGCATTGGAATCAAGCAGCTCAAACTCACCAGTGGATTGCGATTCGCACTGCATTCCCGAGAAGACATCAGACGTTGGTATCGTGGGTGCGAGCTAGACTAAACGTGAGGCAGACCCAACAGTAGGATGTGGCCGCAGTAAACGTATTATCCGCTTGTAATCTAGCCGACGTCCAGACACATATGCTGATCCATAAGGGGTAGGCTGTGGCCAAGCAACCCGGATTGGTGGGCGCGAAATGTGGCACAAAGGTGATGTCTCATGCCGATGACAGCGTAAAGCAGCGTCCGTGGGTGGGTCGCTAAAGCGTGCTAGTCGACCTGCAAGTTGTCCTTGGCACGGGCACATGGCCAGTCGCAGCTGGTCCGCGCGCCAACGCATCCTGCACTTTCACTCTATCTCCATCTGTGGGAGGGTCGCTTCGGCATCATGTCTAGTAAAGTAGACGACTTTGCGTTGTCGCATTCGTCTAGTATGCGGCTCTGCGCGACACAGTCATTTGACCATACATACATAAACACCTATAGCACGGTGTCGTACCGCTTGCACCCTCGCCCGCGGATTAGGTGGCACCACTCACGGCATGGCACAAGTAGCACAATCTGAATGGAACGTTGAGTTCCAGAGATATATCGTCCCCTTGTGGAGTGCAGAGCACGGACGATACTACTGGCAGCATTATGTTGAAGGTCTGTGGTTATGCACTGGCATACACAAAGGCTAACCAGTAATAGGTCAAGGTTGGACCTTTTTTGACTGGGCTCCTTTTGGCTGGACTCCTTCAGCGCAGAATTTTTCACAGTCGCTGCATTCATCTCAGGCTCAGTCGCATGCGCGCACCGACTCGGTGCAAACGGTGACGTCGTCTAGCGGCGGTCCTGCTGGCTACGGACGGGGTGAAACCATTCAGGGCAGCTACCAACCAGAAAATCCGTATCCGAACAGCCACTATGAGGTGCTTGATCCTTGTTAGCATCCATGTACTCTTTTTTCAACATAGTACTAACGTGTTGAAGCATTCTATGTCAGATCCGGTGCCTTCTTTGAGGAAGGAAAGGTGGGTGGCAGGCGCCTAGGGTTAGGTGAAGATTGCTTACAGCTTCATAGGTTTTTGCTGTTCTTTTTACTGAGACGGCGGGTGCTAACGCTATAAACCCTATGGCCGATTACAACACCAGTCTCTCCAGAGTGAAGTACAATGAATTCGCACACACCCAGGTACGCAGATTCATTGTCACTAAAAGCAAACGCGAATTTTGCTTCGCGGTGTACGTATATCACCAATCCTCTCCAGGGTTTCCACATGGCTGACGTTTGACAGTCCCATCTTCTCTTATGGCAACAGGGGTACCACCAAGCATGGGGTGGTTCCCGATGAGCATGCCATTGCCTATTCTTTGGGAATGCAACCGCAGCTCGTACCTGGTGAAGCGCCCCTTGTAAAAGCTCCCATTCCTATTGTCATGGACACGGGCGCGCCTCCACTAGCTGTAGCGTCGAGGATCTACTTCGCCATTCACCACCCAATTCAGTACAATGTCAAGGTCAAAAGCCTAGGCTACGTACATCCTGATTACTTACCTACCTTCCTTGGATACTGGAACCAGGAAAATTTCGACTCCGAGCAAGACCCTGAAGTGACGCAGAATACCAACAACACGGATGGTGCCTGATACTCAATGCCTTGATCGGTCGATGATGCTTTTCTCACGATTTATTATAATACGTTTCGGTTTATGATTTTCTTACACAATTACCTCACGTACTGTTTCTGGATTTCTGCTTTTGCTTTAACCACAGCTTCTACACATAGTCGGATCTTCTCTGTTACGATACGATGGACTCAAACAACGTTTTCTTTGCCATAGTTACTTGCAAATACGATTCATTATACTCGCGATTCCTCCATCGTTGCATCTAGCAAGCATGCTATCCCTATTCCAACAGTCGATCTGCCTAACGAAAGGTCACATGAAAGAGATGTCTTGCAGCCTGCACTACCTTATCATCAGCATAGAGACTGCATCAGTACCCCACATTCTCGATTCCCATACCAACCGCGCAGCGAGGTGGATGGGAAAGTTACGGAGTAGAACTACAGAAAACCAGCGGCAGCTGTCTCCTTTCCATGGCTACTGATAACAACGTAAAGTATAAGGGCGCTCACTTCAGCCCAGAAACGCGGACCGTTTGGCAGGCAGCTATTGGAAGGGCCACCGCGTTTGCCGGAAAAGGCAGCAGAGATGACAACCAGGCGCCACAGGGCCATGGGGCATGTAGCCGGCAATAGATAAAACCAACTTGCTGCAGGGTTGCTAGCAGCGAATGAAACAAGCGCATTGAGACATCCCGCAGTCCAGCTCAGCCTGCTGCGCTCAGACATTCAAAATCTCGATCTTTCGATGTAGCTCCGGCGTTAAAGTAAAGTTGGTTCGAAGCGGGCGGCAAATAGCAGTTTATCTAGCTAACTCTGCACAGTAAGGTCCTTCAGCGCCTGAGGCAGTTCCCGGTGAACTATGATGGACGCTTCGGAACCGCTGCATTTTCGCAGGGGATGGTAGCCGAGACTGAACGCGGGTAGAGTGACCCACGCTCGGGCGCAGCCGATGCAGCGCGCCATCGCAAAACGGCAAGAGTAAGAGATAGTGTCGCATGCCACACCCGTCTCGCCATTCGTGAGTTTGGAAAAAGAACATGCACGAGCGCGAGGCGTAGGCTGATGCGCTCAGAGATCGGCGATGTGAGTGCACGTGTACATGGGTCGCGGACCGGGTCCTTCTCGATGGCTTTGTTAGGTTTCAGGCAATTCCGGGCTCACAGCCTTCGCAGCACGCCACATTTGTGCCCGCGTATCAGTTGCCTACGCATGCTGAGAACAGAAGTGATACTAAGATGATAAGATGACTTCGCAAGCATCTGCTGCTTACTAACATGACGCTAGACTCTGCTACTTAGCCTTGTGGTCGTCAGACACTCCACCCTTTGGTAGAACCCTTGTTGCCATGGGTAGAAATTGGATTATGGTACAACAGCTATGTTAAAACAATGAATTCATGAGGTTCCTGAGTACACAATGAAGAAATATTCGCAGTTCTGTTATAACGCTCACTGTGGCAGGATCATATATCGTATGAATGAGCAATCTCCATTTATTACTCCTGTAACTTCGCGATTGCAAACACCTAGCTAAGCCTTCGAACGCAGCGGGATCACCCCATGAATTTTTACTCGAACATCCCGAATGGAGCCATATCTTACTGCACGAAACCATGCCATGGTGAGAGGGCAAAAGAGCAAGCCGGCTTATGTTGGTTGAACTAAAGATGACTGAAAGTTTTGTGCTCATGTATCAACTCTAGTCATGAACACGTGAGACAGCTATCTATGCAAAGAAAAACTTTGACTACGGTTCTACATTACCCACAGAGTGTTCGATAGGTTTGTATTCATATATCGGGTCCATTCAAGGATATTTAAGACGGCCATCTATGAACTGCTTTGTACGCATTACATCTCCCACATAGTGTTCTCGACGACAAGGCCGCCTTCCTTCTGATGCACATTCATCATTGCCGCGTATGATCTTGCTCCAATAGCTTGCAGCCATACCTTCTTGTTATCGCCGAAACGGGTGTGTCGTCAAGGATACCCAGTACCGTGCGGGCACCCCACCGCGAGCGGAGCATCCACAGACAGGACGCTCGCCCAAGCTCTTGGCTGACCGGTAGGGCTGTTCCCCGCCATCTCAGCGCCATGGTACGATAGAGATGGCAACTGCGGCTAAGCGTCGCGATGGGGGCTGAGTCGACAGAAGAGAAGGATGTAAGAGCTGCTGGCTGAATCAACGATGTCAAGAATGGCAACACATCCATCACCCAACCGACTTCACTAGATGGACTCAAATTAGAAGTGACCTGATGAAAAGCATGGCAAGAGATCATCTTATCATATAACATGTAGACCGAGCAGTGGACGACTATACAACGCTGTGCCAGTACGAGCCTGCTGGAAAAAGTCCTCTTATGATGCAACCATAGAAGCAACTACCCGAAAGGAAATCGTGAGTGTAGTAGAAGAATGAACATGGAAAGAGAAAGCTATATATGAATGTATGGTCCTGAATAAACAGATTGGACAAATTGGAGAACAAACAGTGATCTCGGAGGCCTGCGTATGGTGCAGCCCAACCATGTAAGATAGTTTAGAGCAATCATAGCGACAAAGGAAAGAGTCGAGAAGTTTGCGTATGGTGCAAAACTCTCAGTTTCGTCATTCCGCTTGCATCGCAGCATCAAAGTATTCCTTGATTAGATACCGATGGCCTTCTATCACCATCCCCACGTCGAGTACTTTAACGTTGTGCTCAACAGCGTATGCCTTACCGTAGTTGACACGGCTTTCCACCTCAAGGTATTCACCTTCGGTCGATCGTACTTGGATCGAGTATTTCGTCAATGCCTCACCTGGAAGCTGGTTGGGTGTGGTTGTCGTAGTATGAATGATGCCATGATCGCTCATTCTCAGACCCGGCTTTGCGGCGCCGCGACCTCTGTAAGTTTGAATCGGGCTAACGAGCTCGTCAGATTGATGTAAGGCAAAACATCTTGTGAGATCTACGTACATGCACTGGCTGAAGTCACCCTTGTTCCGAACAACAACGAATCGGCGTATTTCACTAAAAGCTGTTTCCCCATATTGTACAGTACTAAAGTGTGTTGAGTTCCGAGTCTTTCCAGGATTGACCTGGCCGGCAGGTTCTGTCCAAAGCATCTTGAAGACCTAAAAGCGCATCGTTAACACCATAGTTGTATCGACCACCGAATTATACTTACCCGGCCACTGACAAAGAATGTCGCACGCGACGACTGCGCAACTCGCCGATACCCTGGCACATATAAGCATATGTTGATTTGCTAACGCATGGCGTCGCTTACTCGAGTCAAGCTGCTCGTGATTATAGCTTTCATTAAGATTTGTCTGGATATATCTTCGATCTTTGCTTTGTATAGTAGATTGCACATCGACGGGAAGAGACGTTACTGATCGACGTGAACTTGGATACTGAGAGGGTTGCCCTGTCACTCCACTTGGCGCCGTGTGTTGTGATGGCCTCGGCGAAGACTGTGTGAAAGGGTAGCTACTCTGAGCTTGGTAACCATGCTGCAAGTGTGGCGAACCCCCTGAAACAGTTGTGATCGAGGCATGAGCAGAAGGATATGACTGGGGGCTTGGTGTGCCGTATGGTTCTGTCGTGTAATTTGTTCCTCCTTCCCCATTCCTCGAGCTACCTATCCTCGCCCCATAACTATATTGCTGTTGTGCGCAATTATCTACCTGGCCCGTTCTGGTATCATAACCAGATCCTGTAGATCGATTCAGTTGCCTGCTCGATGGTGTCTGGGCATTCGGCCAATATGAATAGGTCGTTACGTTTGCTTGTGGAGACGAGCCGGAACTTGGTTGAGGATGCTGCGGTCTAAAGGGCACCGGTACGTCGACGCCGGTGCGTGGCGTTCTAAGGGTCGATTGAGAAACCTTCGTTTGTAATGTTTGCTGCTGTACTGACCTTGCCCTATCTTCGTAACTCTGCACTGCTGCAGGCGTTTGCGGGGTAGCGGAACCCGTCGCAGGCCCCGACCAAAGAGTTTCTAACACTGTAACACCATCATCTGCTAACAAATATGAGTAATGACGATTGTGTGGTGCTGACCATGTCCAAGGCCCGTAGCTCGGCATAGCTACATGTTCGCGACTTAATGAGCGCAAAACAGCAGAGAAGAATAGGAGGGTGTGTCGATAGCCTAGGTAGGTATGCCAGAGCGGGGCATGTCGGAATCGAGGAAGAGCCTCGTCGCCGAGAAGAGATGCCTCATCTCGATGTGGCGTCTCTGCAGATTCAAGCTTGTGACAGACTCCATATGAATGTCGGAAGTCGCCAGTGCGCGGCTAGAGCGCTGTGTAAACCTTAGGGGATGATGCCTAGGTGGGGCGAGCCACAGCGGGAGCCCCGGTCGCGTCTTCGCTTAACTACCTAGGTAGATATCGTGAAACCGGCTCTACCGCAGCCCTTAGCTGAACATCTCCTGGTCATGCTTCGTTGCTTCGCTATCTAGATCAAACAGAGTGAACATACAAACCATTACTGGCAGTATCGCTGAGCGAGTCAATTCATACATGCTACGTTTCGCGAAGAGATCAATCAGCGCAGTAACCGCACAGTCGGTATGTCGGCTTGTCAGGATGTTGTAGATATCACCACGGTATACCAATGGATCATAGACGAAGGGTACCGGGCTAACGTCCAAAGGGCCATCCAACACGTCTCAGAGAGCCGGATCTCATGACTGAGCGTTCCGACCAGGAATGTTCTACCCGTGAAGTGGACACCAATGCACTTGGTGATGATGAAGCTCACTCCGCTCGCGACGATACACCAATAAAGCCCGCGCCAGAGCCTTTAATTCCATGTCCACTCTGCGCACTTAGGAAGGGGATACTGAAGAAAGTGCGCTTTGATGAATCATGCGGGCCCATAGAAGAAGAAGACCACAACGAAGATGCGGTGCCTGTTAGTTCGCCATTGCGCGACCGCCATATGGCACAGGACGTGTGTTATGAAAGTCCGCTCAAGTCGAAAGGCAGTCCAGTCTACCCGTCGGTGATACCATCACTTGCACCACCACCACCGCCTCCTCCTCCTCCCCCTCCACCCCCACCGCCTCCAACGGATGCGCCCCAGCCTCCTACACTCTTCAACAAAGCTATCGAAGGGGATGAATATCTGAATGCAGCGGCTGTCAGACTTTACACTAGCTTCATGAATGAACTCTCAGAGTTCGTCGCACAGCAAGATGATGTAATCAGAATGCGACTTGCTGTTCAGGAAAGGCGCAAGGGGTTGCATAGACTAAGAGAACATGTTTCGGAATGCGACATGATGCTAATCAACTGTATGCGTGAAAGAGTCAATGGAAGCTTCCCATCAGACGACCGTACAATGCTCCATCTTTTTGAAGCATCACAGGCAGCAAGGGATGAGATCGGGCCTGTCGAATCAGAATACGAACCACTTGAGATCATACTAGGGTCAAAAGAGCATCAGCTAGTTGAGAGATACACCAAATTAGAGGAAACCTTCGATCATTTCTTCCGACTCAATATAGCACCGATGACTAAGCCAAAGGAGCCATTCGAAATCGAATATGAGGCTTCCTCGGTGGCCTCTGCTGACGACGAAAATGGTGCTCTTGGAGACACTGAGCACCTGCATGGAGCTCTGATCGGGGACAATGTTGGCATTGGCCAACTGCCAAAGCATGCTGCACAGCTCATACCAGGCGCACAAAAGTCTTGGATGTCTGGTGGTTTTCATAGAAGGACAGTGTCTTTAGGATCCACCGATATACCGAGACCTCACAGCAGCGGTTTTGCAGATGAGCGGATATCATTCAATTATTCGACAGGCACACTCAATTTCATCGGCATCTGGATCACCGATACGCTGAGTTTGTCCGATACTGGTGCCATGATTCAGGAACGACCTGACGATGAATCAACATTCTCTATGAGTAACTACATCGACATACCTGATGCACTACCAGATTTTATGGATAACTATCCCGTCAACCCAGGGCTTGAGGAAGGCAATCCTCTGCTCTTGCTTGGCGAGAGCAACGAGACTCGTAGCATTCTTAGCGACTATCTTGTAAACTTCGAAAGTACACCCGATAGAGTAAACCGCTGGATATTGCACCAGCTTCGGATTTCACCACGAGAGATATACACCCTTCACAGAAGCATTGCGGAACACATGGGAAAGCCGTTTCACGAAGCTTCATCAGTACTCAAAGCATGGCCGCATGACAGTCTTGGTCACGACAGTTCGTACAATCAAGGATCAGTCGAGTTTGAAGGAAGCTATCAGAACCCACAAGCTCTTGGGTACCATGGAGCATGTCCTCCTGAATGCCGTGGTACACATGGCTGGCCAAACAACGAAGCGTGGCTAGTGCATGAGTCGTCCACTTTCTCTAATGTAGAGTTTACACCGAGTCTGCAACATCAGCATAGATCGGAGTCTATCAAGCTGAAGCAACATGAACTATCATCAGGGCTTTATGACGAAGACTGACTACGGCCGGGATATGACGGGACGAGTCAGGATAATCTAATAAACTAGAATTTGATATTCAGAGAAATACTTGGTAGAGCCTGTTCCAAGAAGCTCAAAGGCACCCGCAACATAGTCACGATATCTTGGCTTGTTGTAGTATACAATAGGTTCTATATCATACTGTTCCCGAGTTACTTGTTAATGCTGCTGGACGCCGATATCACTTACCTAGTTTGCATGGCTCGCAGCCGAGCCATCACTGAGCGACATCGTTGTCAAAATGTTTGCATCTAAAAAAGGTCTTCCAGCCACAGCATGAGTATTTCTAACCATGGCCTGGATCTCTGCGCATTACCTTGGCGATGTGAATGTGCCCTGCAAGCCTCCTGCAAGTATTTCTAGTCATGAGTCATATATGCACAACGCGCATAGTCTCCACTCATATTCGTCCACCAATCGATGGCCGATAGCAGAGCCGCATGCCTTTCGACCGCGCTTAGACCATTTTCCCAATTTGGAATTCATCCATTTATCCTCGTCACATTTTGATTTCTATCACGCTGATAATTATCATTTTACTGTTGACCAACAACATACTGAGTCTTGTTTGCAGTATCATCGGGCGACCAGATTACCCACGCATATTTAGCCACGTCTTTCTTCCAGCCGTGTCGCCCCGACTCACCGATGAGGCTGTTGAAGCGTTGTGATGATTGGTCGATTTAGGAGGGCATATTTCCACAAAAACAACATCCAGCAATCGTAAAGGAGCACGCATACATGGTCTTGATCTCATTGGTCGGACAATCACCTCACTTATCTGTCGAGGAATGACACGTCCACCCACGCTTTGGCTACTCCGTAGCTAGATTTTGTGGCCCAAAAGTAAACAAGCATCTACTTCTACGACTTGCCTGTGCTTGGTTGGCATGACACCACACGCCGCCAAATTCATGACAAAGCATCGTGTCGCGTCAGGTGGGATTGGAGGGCAGCGATCGGTGATTCAGCAGTATAAGGGCTACCAAGCAACAAGTGTACCTAGGTATGCTGCGCAACATGCATGGGTCATGTGTGCAGTTCTCCACGCATGAAATCCATAGTCGTGCTATAAACAGTAAGTCTCCCCGCGATGAGTGGGCCGGATTGCATTCCCAGCCTTACAGGGCGCATGCATGCCTGATTTTAGCATGTACTACTCGCTAAAGCGGCGTGTAAGACGGGAGTAGGGCGTTGACTTGCATGCCGTGGTGGGTCAAGTGGGGTCCGACGGGCCGTTGGAAATCTGAGACGGGACTGTACATGAAGGAATAAAGACAGCTACTGTGCCATTAAATCGCATGCCATCCAGTCGCATGTCATCGTCTCACGATCTAATGTCACTCCCAAGACTGGATGCAAGATAGAATACCGGCTCAAACACTACTGGGGGGTATAGCAACTCCTTCCATTTTCGTCATGCTGCGCGGGTAGCGATCATGGGTAACGGCTGTTACGTACTCCCGGCGCTTGTAACATCGGCAGTCGTGCTTATATCGGACCGAACGAATGGTGGTACAAATCTCTAGTTCCGATATGCTGACATGGGCTGATCAGCTGGGCGTCATTCACAGGCAAGCGGGCGTCTTGATGATCCCCATCAACGTGGGACATGTAGAGCTGAGCCCGACAGATCGGTCACAGAGCGCAGCCTGCATGAAGCTTGCTGACATGGGGAGATTAACCACTCAGCCTTCTGAGTTGCTTATCAACGTGGTCTGACGTTTCATGAGGTCTCGGGGTGACTAAACCTACATGCTCTGGTGAGCTGATCGTTGCATTCAGATGCCGGACGACAAGGTGCAACAACGCCCGACTGCCGTCCTACAACAGGAACTTGGAATTCGGACATTGTCCCGGAAGCAATTGTTGAAGTAGAAAACACATTAGTCCAGCCTTGATCGGTCAATATATAAAGCAATAGATAGTTATTGATAATATCTAACTACTAAGACAGAGAGAAGGCTAGTTGAACAAGAGGCTGCAGAAAAGGGGGCCACATGATTGTGCTACGACACCGAATGCTTTCCGGAACGAGCAAGTGGACGGTATCTTCCAATGAAAGAAGTGCTATTACTCCGATTACCCTTTGGTCTAGGGAGCAAGTTTCGAATCCAACCAATCGTGTGTCTTCGTTTCTGGAGGCCCGGCTGAGTGTGAGGCGTGACCAGACCTTCGGGAATTCGCTGTTGGGTCTCGTTGATGGGAGCGGGCGATGTGTCAAGTAGCGGACGATGACTTGACCATACAGGACGTGCATTATGATCGAAGTCCGACATCGCATGCCCCGCACCTCTCATACTAGAACCGAAGGAATGCGTTGGATGTAGGCCAACTTCATGATGTTGCAGCGGCTGACCCATGCGCTCGCCCAAGGCTGTGCTTCCTGTAGTTGACTCAGCACAGTCTTTCCTTTGTCCTTTCCGGCATTTCTTGACTTCGTGCCCATGCATGTTCGCTACCTCGCAGTCAATATGAGGAGTGACGTCCGTAGGTTGAGCGCTATCTTTTCTTTGTGCCGTATCTCCAACCTTCCCAGAAGAGATACCTGATTCTTGAGTTGAGGACACATTTGTTTTCATACCATTGTCAGCTTCAAGTTGCTGCTCGGTCGAAACATAAACGGCTGGGATTGTTGTTTTGTTCCGATTATCAATCTCTATGTCGTGTGCGGTTTCATACTCCGGTAATGGTATTGGAGAAGTAGACGGTGTTGACAAAGTGTCAGGACACACTGGTAGCACTTCATTTAATATGTGAGGCTCTGATATGGATGTCGTATGCTTAATATGGCGTGGTCTACTTTCCTGGTTATGTTGAACTGGAGGCGGGCAATTTTCATTTTGAGTAGCACATGATTCCTGGCAAGAATCGAGCTCATATCCTGTCCCATTAGCGGTAGACGCCTCAGTTCCGCTTCCTTCTTCCCTCTTGGTGAGGTTATCATGATCCCATGACTGTGTCACACGGGCCTTCCAATCACTCTCTGCTGAATTTGCAACCCCATACTCTTGAAGTGTGTTGAAATATAGCTGCTTATGTACTGGACTTTCCTTAAGGTGCGATAGAGACCAATCCTGGATCTTTCGATTCACGTTGGGTTGATCCTGTATCGACATGAAAGTATTTTCGGGTTGGATTCGTTGCATCGGATCCGAGTATATTGGCGCTGGTCTGCAAGAGTCCGCTAGGTTTGGGTATCGTCTCTTCAGTGCTGATGCACCCAGCTCTGGCATCATCTCTTCGGCTCTGAATTGCTGAGCTATTGTCTCGTGAATAGAGATGTCGAGTACAACGTCACCGTATCGGTAAGTAGAGTCGGCTAGGCTATCTTCAAGAAGCTGATCAGACTCAAATGACGCGTGAACATCGTCCCATTGGGCGCCACTTGCTTTCTTTTGCCGTAGCTGATCAAATTCTCTTTTGAGCTCATTGACCCTTGCCATCATGGTGGCATATGCCTGCTCGGCATCGGTGGGGAAAGTTAAATCAGCTAATTGATGAGAGATCGGAGACCTCTCCGGAGGAGGTGGAGGAGGCGGCGGTGGGGGTGGTAGTTCTGGAACTTGACTTGAGGATGGCACCCTTATTGGATGAAAAATGGGATCTAAAGTCGAAAGATGTGGGCTTTTCTCGCTCATTACTGCATACGGAAGAGTAGAGCTATCGGCCATTTCTTCAGGGAGGATGCTGTGAATGTCCCATTGATAAAATCGGTCTTCTTGATCCATGAACGTCCATTCGGCGCCCATCAGGTCGCTCTCCGCCTCTCGGTAATTGTCTTCTGTTTCGCCTAGAGCATTGCGTGTTTGTTCAACCTTTTCGTATGCGTCCGACAGAGGAGTAGAGAGAGTTTCCGAGTTCGTATTGACCAATTCTCTTAGTTGACTCATGAACGCAGCCTCTGCATCGCCTGCAGCAACCCGCTTCTGCTGAATCACACGACTGGCCGTTCTTAGTCTTTCGCGTTTCACCAGAAGCTGCTTTCTGGATGACGATAGCTGAATCTGAGTGTCTGCTGTGTCTTCTAATCGCTGTCGGATATGTGCAATGAGCTGATCAGGATGTGGTACCTGTAATCCTTCTCTTATCGGATGTTGCTGTTCCATGACTTTTCAAAAACCGACGAAAGCCATTATCCGCGGAAATACTGTGTGGTTGAACTCAATATAAGGAGAAATGCTGATCTCCTTGCATAACAGAACCAATAACACGTGTTTGCTATTCCGGGTTCCCCTGTAGCACTCCGGAAATCGGGCTTTATGAGGCTCCGCATTAACAGTCAGATTTCAAGTACAGAGACTGGCAAATGTGGTCGTCATCTGGCGTTCAGCTGCAGATAAGGGTTGACCTGATACATGAGCCAGCCGCAGACAAGCGTCGCGATGATTTAAAGTCTTGTGCACAGCATGGAGCTGGAGCTGGAGCTGGAGCGGCCGCGTTGGGCACCATACGCCTATCAAGTGAGGAGGTGGATGCACGTAGCCTCCCGCTTTATTTGTCACACGGATGGTTCCATGGAACCAACGAGGAGTCGCACGGGCAGCCGGATTCATGGCGTGGGGCTAACAACATCGGTATGCCGAATCGGAAGTCCGTGGGCCTGCCGCTCCACCATTTACAATACCACGCAAGCACTCTAATGCATGGATCACATGTACTTATAGATGATATCTGCGTGTTTACGACACATATCCTGGATGCGTGAGTGGAAGCGAATAGAACGCGAATACAGGAAAAGGTGGACGTGGAGAACAATGCAATCCTTCTTGCGCAATGCGCATCACACCCTCCGCAATCCACATTGACAGGATAGCAGAGCCGCATCACTTGACTTCAAGCTCCTGCTCGTATAAAACTGGGGTGGTATACTGATCATATAGTCAAGCTAAGTCTGTACCAGCTACCTCTCGAGCTCGTATATTGACTAGCCTATCGGCTTGTTGTTCAATCAACGCACGGCTATCGAGTCGTCTTTCACACCACACCAGCGCTACTGCCCAGTGATATCGTGCGACATGTCCACCAGCGCTTGGACTTGGAGCCATCCACACCAAGATTACTATTGTGTCACATACGACGAGTACAGTGAGCCTTGAATAGACCTGGGGTTCGATAGCGATCGCTGACCTTGCTAGGGCAACCTGTGTACCACTGGTGGTCTAAACAAACCACGGCAGCGAATGAACCAGTGTCGACTCCCGTCCAGGCTTCACCCTTCAGACATGATTCAGTCTCCCAGCAAGACTATGGCTCAAACACGGCACAGATGCCTGAACGTGGTATGACACGACCATCTTGTATACGGCATGCATGTCGCCTAATCAGATATTACTGTAGCTTCACAAGACAGCCGTGTGTTGCCAGGCTTCATTCCAGGCACGCCACACACCGGATGGTATGATCTTCTGGACCCAAGTAAGTATGCCGCAGCCACTGAACATTTCAATCCAGCTTACGATCGACAGGCTATCAGATGCGAACAGGGGCAGAGGCTCAGAGTTTCTTTGTAGTCGGTAAAGTCTTTGCTATGCTGTACACAGAGACTGCAGGAGATACCTTGACAGTGCGGCAGAACGACGATGCATATACTATGGTTCGCTTCAATGAGATTGCACACACTAATATCCGTCGCTTTGTTGTAGTACAGGTGAAACGAGGGTTTGTAAAAGCTTGGTAAGACGTGGCAGTGTCGCTGAGAGGCTGGTCGCTAACCCGATCCAGTGGGATTGGTACATATTCCGGTCGTGGCGCCCTCAAGGATGGCTGCAGTCCGCACGAGCATTCGATAGTCTATTTCTCTGGAACCGACCCAGCATACTGTTATTTACCTGGAGAATACGAAAGCGGAATGACGAAGGATCCAATAGAAGTCGAACCAGTCGACCGCCTCGCCACGATACGACGGGAGTCCCGCATACGATTTGGAAAGACCTATCCAATCGAAATGAATGTCAAAGTCAAAGACATTGGCCGGGTTCATCCATACCATTTGACCAAACTCTTGCAGTACTGGACTGATGAGGACCAAGCCCAATGAAAGGGTACGTCTGCAACACAGCCCGTCGAAAAAGACTGTGCAATATAACGACATATACGTTCACTACACTGCGACGCTTTGCGCTGCTAGGTGCAAGTCCCTTATCTCTTTCTATCATGTTGAAAATACGTTCTCTCGACAGATGCACACACCCATCTTCCCAATCTTCAGTCATCCTTATGAGACTACGAACCTAACGGCCGGATAGACGATCGCGACCGTAAAGGCTGGTATTGAAAGGTCATTATGTATCCTTGTGGTGTTGTTTTGGCGTCTGCGACAACTAAATACGTTATATACGATCAAATTGAATAACATCTCATCTTCAACCCCAGGCCTTCTTTCCTTGCGCGATCGAAGGTCTTGTTATTGCGTCTTGCCCGCATTGTACATGAGATGGATACCATATCAGAATTCGTCCGCAACGAGACTAGATACTGAGGGCAGTGTTCGATCGAGGCGCAAGCGGGAGGTCGATGTGCGGTGTGTTCGGTTACATCGCGGCCGTGGTCGTAGTCAAGGTCCACTTGTCGCGACATGCGATTATGCCTCGCGATCCATAGGTATCCAGACACTTTCTCTTCGCAAAAGACGGAATGCGGTGGGTCATTGCAAGTGCTGCGGGCGCTCAGTGTGACTAGCAGACCACTCTGCATGACATGATGTAGAAATGCCGCCCGTGGCTACTATGTCGTCGTCAAGAGCCGACTTCAGTTTACATGCGTAGCTTCATATTGCGTTGGCAATGTTTACAGGGCGCCGGCCGATAGCGCTCGTGAAGTCGCGTAGTGGTGCATGCGTGGTGGGAGGACGCACAGTGGAACAGTGGAAGGCGACAGCGGGAGAGAGGGAGCTTACCGCGCCCGTCCGGTGGGTCGGTGCACCAAGCCCCGCCCATAAGCTCGACCATGTACATCAGATAATGCAAAGTGAGGTTCATTTATTATATTTCGTAAAATTGATGGTAAACCTTAGCAGAGAAACTTATACATGTTTCAACGAAGCAAAAACTATTTTATCTCTTTCCCTTACCCCTCGCGTTGAATGTCTTCAATGGATCAACCTTGCCATTCCTTCGTACTACCCTCCTGCCCTTGCCCTTGTTATATTGTTTCCTCACCTTCGGTATGTTCAGACCCACGAAGCCAACATCCTCAGGCTTCTTTCCACCTGGCAGGAGATAGTCTGGGACGTGCTTGAGATGTGGTTGTATCCTCGCGGGATGGTTCAGAGTCTGATCATGGCGGAGATGTGCGAGCGCTTCGGGGTTCTCTTCAAAGTACCGCGAGAGTTTCTGCGACTTGGCCAGCTCCATGTGGATTTCCTTGATTCGAGCCTCGCGGATAGCGATCCTGGTCACCGACTTCAACGCATCTGCGAATCGGTATCTGAAAGGTTCTAGGCGTTTCATGTCGAAGTTGTAGTTCTCCAGCTTCTGGCCTTCCTGTTGGTGCTTCTCTACACTGGCCAGTACCTTCTCGTCATGTTCGCACCCAGGAAACGTGGTCGGCTTGTGCTTGCGGTACTTGTCCTTGGGGATGATGAACGAGATGGCAGTTCCAGACTTGCCGGCTCGTGCTGTACGTCCGATACGGTGGAAGTATGACTTGTAGTTTCCGGGAAAGTCGAAGTTGATGATACAGCTGACGTTGAGGAAGTCGATTCCACGGGAAACACCAGAGTCCTTGCTCTCTTTGTCCTTCTTCGCCTTCTTCTTCGGCCGTGATCCTTCATCCTGTACACCGACAACGTCGGTCTCGTCGCTCGCGATCAGGATGTTGTACATGTTCGTGTTGAATGACTCAACAATGTGCGTGCGAGAAGCCAGTGGGAGCTCGGAGTTGAGCACGATGGCTTTGACCGCAAATTGTTCCAAGAAGAGCTTGACCCGGTATGACCTGTCCACATCGCCGACGAATATGATTGTCTTGCCTTTGATTAAGTTGAGCTTGAACCTAGAGGTTGGTGGTCAGTATATGTCTTACGTTCTGTCCTTGTGATAGAACTTACATTGCGTAGATTAAGAGGAATTTCTCGTCCTCTGCCACCTTGAGCACGTATTGCTTTACTTTTTGTGAGTCCTTGTCGAGATCTGCAAGCTTGAGTACAACAGGGTCGGTGCAGAGCAGGCTACCGAGCGACTCGACATCGGTTGAGAGGGTAGCGGAGAGGACGATCTTCTGGACACCGACGGGTATTTCACGTGCGATGTTCTCCATGTCCTCAGCGAATCCGTAACCGTTAATCAGGTCACCCTCGTCGACAACAAGTGTCCTGATGTCGCTGACCGATAGATTCGAGCTGTTGATGTTTGTCCATGCTCTAGCGGGTGTCGCGACGACAATCTCTGGCTTGTCGGCAAGGGCTGCCTTTGTGACGACTTCTGCCTCCTTGCCCGCGATGTTGCGAACCCGAATCTCTTGTCCGCAGTGTTGTGCAAGCGACTTGGCGACTGTCGCGATTTGCAAGCATAGCTCTCGTGTGGGTGCCAGGATGAGGGATTGGCCCTTCTGCTGCAAGGTCTTGTGCAGAATGGGAAGCAGGTAGGCGCCCGTCTTGCCTGTGCCAGTTCCGGAGCGCGCAAGGATATCGCGTCCCTCTAGAGCTAACGGTATCGCCTGCGATTGTACTGCCGTCGGTGATGCCCATTTCAGGTCGCGGATTGCTCTTAATAGACGAGGTTCGAGTTGTAGTTCGGCGAACGAAGCAGCGACGGGCACTTCAGGAACGGCGGCAGTCGCTGCTTTAGCCTTTTTCTTGCTCTTCGCTTTTTTGGTTGGTGTTACTGTCGTTGTGGCAGCAGTCGCAGTCGCAGTCGCAGTCTCGGCAGGTGTCGAAGGTTCGGGCGAGCTGCGGGGCTCGGATTGCGACTCGTCGCTCGATGTCTCCTCTGGCACGTCGTGCTCGTTAAGTTTGCGCTTCGCCATTGTGTGTGAATATGATGTCAAACTACGACAAGTGTTGCGATGTTGTCTCGTTGAAGTTTGCGTTATCCATAGATTCTCTACAGAACTTCTGAACTTTTTTGACGCTAATGCGGCAGGGACTTGGCAGGACCCACAGCGGAGGAGCGCCTGCTGAACTCCGGTCTCGAAGCTCCTTCACCCCACACACCCCGTCGTGATTGAGCTGTTTATTCATGACATCTGCTCTACAGAGGAGCGCTTCGTGAGGCCCATTGGCACCACATGGGATGCACAGAATTATGATACAGATACAATCCCTCGCCGACTAGATTCTGGCTCTGCACTCGCTAGGAAGCCAGCACGAGACGCAAGATGCGAGCAGCATTCTCCGCCATCACTACTTAAGTCCTCGAGCATGACATGCTAATCTCCCTCCAGCCAGACGTCAACCTAAAATTCCAATCAAGCCCTGATTCGTCTTACAGTAATCGTCACACATAGCCTGCGATCTTATATCAGCTTGTATCTTTCAACATATCACATATACCTACTCTGGGCATGTCCCTTCTCCCGCCATCCTGCACCATCCTCTCCAACGCCTCAACGTACTTTGTAATCTCGTCGCTGCCCAGCTTCTTCAACGCCTCAATAACAGCATCGATGGTATCCTGGTCAGGCCCTTGATCGCTCGTACTCATCAAGTCGATACCTGCGGGCGTGTCTGTGAAGTTCACTGCTGTAGAATAGCTGGCATAGTACGGAACTTTGTCAATATCGCATCCCCAGACTAGAATGCTGTACTGGCTAGTAGCGCCCACTAGTATTCCTGTTCCTGCGTAGTCGAGCACAGCGGGGAAGTAGGGGTGAGGTGTATCGACACCATAGGTTGTTATGATGCTGTCATTGCCTGGGAACTGGAACGAGAAGAGATCATTCACAGGTCCGGTAGGGTCCGAGGGATCGATCGGCGTCGGGTCGTATTGCACATTCCGCATAGCAGCGTACTGAGGATTCGACGCAAGGATCATCGACCACGGCTTGAAGTAGAAGCCAACGGGTGGCGCCGGCCATGCTCCGCCATGATGGTGGCCATGATCCGTAGTGTTGAAGGTAGGTGGTACGCGAGCCCGCACGCCTTCAGCGCCGAGTTCCCGTGGACATCCATCTTGGGTGGTGTAAGCAAGGGCACGGACCCCCATTGCGAGGAGTATCAAAAGCGACAACATCATACCGGTGGCTATTCAGAAGACTGACGGGGATCGATACCCTTCTATATACCTGGGTACTCCAATATCACATCAGACAATTTACCAGATCAGGAAAGAGGCCTGGAGCAGTTGCTTACGGCGGTCGACTTCGGCGAGATGGACAAGCTCCGCAGGGGCATAGACGCCACCACATTACACAAAGCGAGATCCGTACAACCCTGGCGTCCTTTACTACGCCTTCCTGATTGGGCGCCCGGACTGCTTCGACATCGACTCTAATATCATGACCATACAAGAGCCCATAGCGTAGGAAGGCACTGACAGCTACAAAGCCACAAATGCAGACGCAGACCCCGCCCCAAGCGTGATGTTGCCTCCAGCAATGGCTGGGATCTTGCTGGAACCGGGAGATGAACTGTTACACAGGCTTCTTGCAACCGTGAGGGGTGTGACACCGTGAGTAAGCCGGGTGAAGCCGTAACCGTCGATTGTTTTTCTGTGGCGCGACGCCAGCATACACACCTCCTGCGTTGGATGTCAATGTCATTTGTGCAATGATCGCTCGCAATCGTACCTGTCAGTTCTGCACGCTTAGACACGCATCCTAGTGAGCTACTCGTGGCACCTCCAGAGTCGAAGACAGGGTCGGCCCGTCTCTTGCCTTCGATCGTGTCATCGTTTGCTTGTGTTCTTAACAATGCGTGGAGCTCGAGGTACAACTAATGCATACAGGGTGGCCGCGGTTCGAGGCCTCAGCTGCCACTCCTCAACGGCTAGTGCGAATGGATCATGGTGCACGACTGGAACTGGAACAGAGTTGTTTTTGTGCGCAAGAGAGGCTGTTGTCGAGTAGTGGTGACAATCAAACCCGATTGGATATCAAACCATGAGGATCGAAACCGAAAGTGGACGTCTCCTATTGTAGAAATCGGACAGCGTCTCTGTCTGATGTGAGTATGCTGTCGAAGTTGATTGGAAGGAACAGACAAGAGGTCAGGGAACTCGAATCGCAAAGCACGTGAAGCGATACAGTAAAGAGACCAGTACCATGAACACATGACTTCAACGAATACCAAAGACCCAGAAAACCTCGGGGTAAGCCTACTTTCGACAAGATGGATAAATGCTTCAATCTACGAATCTTTGGATATCCCCAGATGTACCAGGCAGAGTGCGAAAGCCAACAAAAGCCGCGAGCAACATGACGAAGCTACTTCACGACTCGGATGCGGAGCAGATGCATGATTGGAAAACACCGGAATCTCGCAAAGGTGGTCGCCAAAGTCAGCGAGTCAACGCTGGAGAGTCTTTGGAGGAAGGGCTACACTGAGGCGACCGACAACAAGACCATGGAGATGAAAAGTGAATGAGCGGAAGGATAGGTGTTTAGAACAACACCAAACGATGAAACACTTCGTCGCTTCGTTCATCGAAGCGCTACACAAAAATTACGTCCCTAGTACGATGCAAAAAGAAGCCCTTAGCAATCATGGACACCATTCGACTAACGCCTTCCCTCGTACCGAAGTGTTCCAGCTCTTCGCATTTTCCCTGCGGACGACTCATGGTAAGAGTGGCTGGCATTTGTCGAAGTGATCGAGTAACAGCAACATTACAACGATGCACGTCGATCATCACCGTGGAGAAAGCTGGGACACAGGGGTCAGCTCCTGCAAGCCGACTTCGGACCCCACCGCCAGCGCCGTCTCATTGGCTACCAAGCCATCGCTTATCTTCAATCTCCTGTTTACCTCATCGAAACCACCAACTCCAACATGCCTCCAACATGATTACCATCTCCACGCCCAGACCCAAGTTTTCCTGCCCAAGCCAATACCCTTACCCGTCGGCCATTCATAATGCAGCAAGAAAATTTCCGCTGCACCGTTCGGTCCTGCCCGCCACTATGAGACAAGCGTGATGCATATCCGTTTGCAAGCACATGTTCCTTATCAGCATAGGCGAGCCATCCTGCATTGCCCAGTCGGCTAAGAGCTTCAAATTGTCCTACAACAAGACTTCGTCGCTAACACAAGCTTCAAGATTGCGTAGCAGACAAGAAGTTTCTGGGCTTGGCTCTCATTCCACGTTCTCTAGTCTTGCTATGTGCCTATCTTCAGCCAATCATGCGTCAGCTGAATTGCAAAGTGAAAGCAGTTGGTATGTGCGGTTGGAAATGCTCGAGATAGCAGTCTTGGGACCGAGCTGAAGCCGGAAGCCGGGGAACGGTAATCGTGGGGATGCATTGGGGTATAGATACATCGTCTGCCCCGGCGAGATGGTTTGACAGCCAACGCTTTGCTCTGAAGCTTAAACTCGAAGCACGCTCCGTCTTTCCACATGGCTGGTGGTGGTACTCCCATTGGGCCTTCGGCCTCACCTCTTGGTCAAGCTTGGGGTTATGGCATCGTATTGGGCGTCGGGTTCCTCTTCGCACTGGGCATGGTATGGGAGGTTTCATCAGTACAAGCATCAAGGGCTGACAATGTCAAGGTCTTCACCACATGGGTGCTCAAACGCTACAACAATGAGCTGCAAACGTCCGAGATGTTCTCAACTGCTGGCCGTACAGTCAAATCTGGTCTTGTCGCATCAGCTGTAGTGTCATCCTGGACATGGGCCGCTACGCTTTTGCAAAGTTCATCAGTTGCTTTCCGCTATGGTATGTTTAGAACTAAATCGCTGTAAGGTCAAGCCTTGACCATTCCCAGGTGTCTCTGGACCGCTTTGGTATGCTGCCGGTGCCACTGTTCAGATCTTGCTATTTGCTACCGTTGCGATCGAACTGAAGAGGCGAGCTCCTCACGCTCATGTAAGTGTAACACGTTCCTCAGCCTGGTATTAGGTCTGACCATATGATAGACGTTCCTCGAAGCTGTGCGCGCTCGTTATGGAAAGGCCACTCATTTCGTATACATCACTTTCGGCCTTTTCACCAACATACTCGTGACAGCTATGTTGTTGACCGGAGGATCAGCCGTCATCAGCTCTTTGACTGGCGTGCCTACAGCAGCGGCTTGTTTCCTACTTCCTCTGGGTGTCGTGATCTACACGATGTTTGGTGGAATCAAGGCCACCTTCCTGACGGATTATGTCCATACTGTCATTCTTCTCGTAATCCTTTTGACCTTTGCCTTCACCACGTACGCCACTGGCGACCGGCTTGGTTCGACTAAAGCGGTATACGAGCGTCTACAAGAGCTTTCAGCGACGGCACCTGTTCCCGGTAACGCTGGAGGAAGTTATCTTACAATGCGGAGCAAGGACGGCGCCATATTCTTCGTCATCAACATCATTGGAAACTTCGGAACTGTCTTCATGGACAACGGATGTAAGTTATCCACTGCTAGAAGAAACCGAAAGCTGACTATTCGAAGACTACAACAAGGCCATTGCCGCATCCCCGGTTCACGCTCTTCCCGGATATATCATTGGCGGGTTGTCCTGGTTCGCTATTCCGGTAAGATTCTCATTATTCCATATCCGAGTCTGGTGCTAATACCATTGCCAGTGGCTTTGCGCGACCACCATGGGTCTCGCCGCGCTTGCACTACAGAGCACCGAGTACTTTCCCACATATCCCAACGTCATGGACGAAGCGTCGATCAGTGCCGGTCTCACGCTTCCATATGCTGCAGTTGCGCTTCTTGGATCCGGAGGAGCAGTAGCTACACTTCTCGTCGTTTTCATGGCTGTTACATCAGCTTTCAGTGCGCAGCTTATTGCCGTCTCTAGTATCCTGACATATGACATCTACGCTACCTACATTAACCCAGGCGCGAGCGGCCGACGTCTTGTTTACACGTCACACGTATGCGTGTGCGGCTTTGGACTGGTCATGGCTGCGTTCTCAACGGGGCTCTGGTATGCTGGTATCAGCATGGGCTGGCTATACGTCTTCATGGGCGTGATTATCTCGTCTGCGGTGATTCCGGCAACTCTCACGTTGATGTGGAAAGGTCAGAATAAGTGGGCAGCAACTTTGTCCCCTGTGTTAGGCCTGTGCTGCAGCATTATTACTTGGCTTGTCACCACCTCCAAGCTGAACGATGGTGTCATCACCGTCGCTACGTCTGGCGCCAACAACCCCATGCTGGCTGGTAATGTTGTTGCGCTGCTATCGCCTGTCATTTTCATTCCAGTTTTGACGTTGATATTCGGAGTTGGTGAGTTTGTAATCCCTTCGACTGAGCGCATGCTAACGAAGACCAAGACAACTACGATTGGGTATCAATGAAGAACATTCGCCTTGTGGACGATTCGGATGTCACAGCAGCCGCGCACATGGACCTCGAAGCTGTGCACGGCCGTCATGCTGCCCTCTCACCAGAAGCCGAAGCCGCCGAGCAAGCCAAACTATTCCGCGCCTCCAAGATCGCAAAGATCACCACTGCGACCATGACACTCATCCTGCTCATACTTTGGCCGATGCCGCTTTATGGCTCGGGTTATATCTTCAGCCAATCATTCTTCTCGGGTTGGGTCATCGTCGGCATCATCTGGTTGATGTGCAGTACTATGGCTGTAGGTGTATATCCTCTATGGGAAGGCCGTGAGAGCTTAGCAAGGAACTTTGGTGGCATGTGGCGCGACATCACCGGAAAGGGTGGTCGTCGCGGAGGGCCGGTCACAGTGATCGAAGGCGAAAAGACGGCTGAATCAGGTACGCATACGCCAAAGGAGGCTGACGCGAAGGCATTGGAGGAGTAAGCGTTGCATGTAGTCGAAGATCATCCACACCGCTCTGTACTGCTACCAGATTGTTTTTTACCCTGTCTTTTTTCTCATGATGTCTTGGGAGTCCAGTCTCTACCACGTTGAGATCTTTGCGAGTCCAATGTTCGCGGTGCGACAATGGCGGATCGATGGAAGCTGTCCACAAAAGGTAAGCGTCCCGCTCGGTGTCTTTCCACGCCTCCTGAACTTTACATCACCGCAAGCATCGACCCGGTTACTGGTACCTCGTGATATCGATTATGGCTTCGTCTAACGCTTCCAAGATGATTTCGGTGCCTCTTCGCCCAACGATGTGGCCGTTGACCACGTTGTGCAGCGAGCCTCATGCCTCGGACCCTGTACGATGCATGCGACGATGAACGCCTTCCTATTTCCAGAATGCGGACACCGCTCTAAAAATACGCTACTGAAGAGCGAAGAACTGCGATTGCAGGAACAATGTTAATTGTCCGGGGTAGAATCCAGGTACCCCGCGACCCCAGTGCTTACCCGGTAATAGCTTCGGGGCATCTGCGCCGAGAGGCAAGGGTGCTCTTGTCTAGCAACGCGCATGTCTGCAGCGATATATAATACCCAGAGAAACTATGAATTTATTCCCATCCTCGCCAAGAATACTCGCGCATCATTGTGTTCAGGATGAGCGCATTCAAGTTACTCGGTCTTGCTGCCCTGGCTGCTGCGGCGCCAGTAGAGGAGCGCGCAAAGAAGCCCAAGAGTTTTCTGAAAGATCTTGGAAACTCAACTTGGGTTATTGGCAACGAACTCTGGAACGTTACACAGAATCGCCAGTATGCTAATAAGTTGTGGTACAACGGGAAAGATCGCGTCGGGAATGCTGTTGGGCATTACGTTAGCTACAGTACGTGCAAGCAGGGCGCTGGACGAAATAAAGGCGTCACGTCGCTAACCAATTCGTAGATGGCGCCGCATCTGATCTGAACTGGACTTCCGCCGCGATTGTCGATTCTGACACCGACTACATCAATGTCAAGTTTACGGCGAAGGAAGGCGACTTCCATTGGGTAATCTACGACGATCTCCCAGGCGCATACCAGTACTTCGTTAACCACGCCCTGCCTACACTGGGCGAGTTCCGTACTTTGTGGCGCCTCGATAACGTCTCGTTTCCTCGCAGCCACAACAACGTAAAAGATGGTGTGCTTCCTGCATTAGAGGAATATCGTCAAGCTACCAACGTCCAGGATGAAACCTGGCAAAAGGCTGACGGGTCGTACTTGACAAAGTACGACTGGAGCGGCTTCGTCCGAGACCAGACATACTACGGTGTCTATGGCGACGAGGTGGGAAGCTGGTACCTCAACCCTGGAAAGGACTACTACAATGGTGATCATCTCAAGCAAGAGCTTATGGTATGTCCGATTCTGTCTTGCTAGTAGATGATGCCAAACTGACTGATGAAAGACTCATCGTGAATCCCAAACTGGAGACGCAGTTCAGCTGAATATGATCCACGGCACACATTACCAAGCCATTGCGCGCGATTCCTTCGCTGATGGTAAGATCTGGGGCCCATGGCTTTGGTACCTCAACGACGGAAGCAAAGACGATGCTGCAGCTCGCTGGGGGAAGGAAGAAGCAGCCTGGCCTTACAAGTGGTTCGACAACAAGCCCTACCAATCTCGCGGCAAGATGCAGGGCAAGCTCCTGTTGAGTGACGGACGTCCAGCTGCTGGCGCTGCCGTCTTCCTCGGAGACAACCGCAACACTACGGTTTCAACTCTCGATCAAGGGCAGAATTACTACTACACTACCTATGCCGACGAAGATGGCAAGTTTGACATCCACGACATCCGCACCGGCACATATGCGCTCTACGCTTGGGGCAATGGCGGTGCAATTGGCGATGTTACAACAAACTTTACCCAGAACGATGTGGAGATCCGCGAGGGCAAGAACACAAATCTCAAGGAATTGACCTGGAAAGTTACCGACAGCAAGAAGCGCATCTTCCAGATTGGCGACTTCGATCGTACGACCGACGGGTTCAAACTTGCTGACCCAGCTCACCCATTCGAACACGGTCGCATCTCCAAATGCCCAGGAAACCTCACCTACACCGTCGGCACCAGCTCTGCTCTTGACTGGTGCTTTGGTCAATCTGCACTCGGCACCTGGTCTGTTCTCTTCCCATCCAAGAGCACATCCGCCGCTAAATTGACGGTATCCCTTGCGGGCTTCTCACAAGGCTCAAGCTGCGACATTCTGCTCAACGACGTCAAGGTGGGAAACATCACGAGCGCCAGTCTATTGAACAGCCAAGACACGTATCGTGGTGCCACACGAGCGGGCGAGTGGAGATTGCTCGAATTCCCAATCGCGGATGGAGCGTTGAAGAGCGAGGGTAACCGCCTAGACATCAAGGTTACTAGGACTACGCAATGGAGAGGGTGGCTCTGGGATAGCTTGGTCTTGGATCAGGCATAGATAGCATAATTAATAATATACAATACATATGCTACTACTGCGTTTGATTCAGTCCAAACTGACCTCGATTTGTGAGAGTGCAGGCTCAATACAAGTACAGACTCTGCGCGTTTTGGAAGTATGATCCAATGGCTATTGCCCCAGAAATCAGGCCTCCAGTAGACCCAAAAGCACATTCTCCGTTCTCGTTCTGGCAATATGATCTCAGTGACGAGGCCGCAAGACTTCCTTGTTCTGCGCAGTCGCCGACGTATGTGGCTTGGATAGGCTAGCGTTGTTCTGGGCGCAAACGTCATACGCTCGCTAGATGCAGAAAGAGCACAGGTGTGACGCGCCGTGTCGGGACATACTTTGAGATTGCTAACAACACCTAGATTGCAAAGTGGAATTGGCCATGCTAATCCATATATCTAGCAGTCAGCTCTGGTGTGACGAGCTGTGCTGTCTTCTTCCTCGAGACCCGCCCTAAAGGCTCATGACTCGATGAAAAAGATACTGGGAGTTGAATCCCAGTAGAGACCTGCCAATGGACGACATGCGTCGCGTGCCTTGACGTTTGGTCTGTAAAGTGTGAGAGTATCGCTGCTGATGCTAGCGCACACTTGGAGATGTCGAGATGTTGAAGTCTCGCCCAGCCATAACACACAAGGAAGACTATGGTGACATAGCATCTACCGAGGGCTTTTTACCGCCACCCGATCGTCGGCAGTCTTGAACATTGACGTTTTACCGTATCCCGTTCAAGTGCCGGGGTTCGAGAAACACATTCGCATCTTAGGTTTGTGACAACCTCAGACGATCCTTGTCCCTCTGTCGTCGATAGGAGAGCCTCGTACATGTATGCCATATATCATGGGCCACTTGACCTGTCAGAAGTCCTCTGAAGAGAACATCTTGTCGCAGATATCTTCCGCACGCATAACCCGAAAGGGCACACTGACGGCGGGTCGAATCGGAAGTGGAATCGAACCACCATCGTTGTGGTGTGTAACAAGGCCACCAAGAAGACAGCTGGGGCAGCCCGTCTCTTTACGATTCTCGACCTGACATACATGCAGAGACCATCACCCATCTGAACCAGACGACGGACCCTAAAGCATGAAGCCGATCGATCTGCCTGGGCACCCCTCTATCCCCGAGAGATTCAGTGAGGTGTCGGAGTCAAAGGTGGTTGTCTTGCAAGACCGCTGAATGCTCCGATCTATGTCTTGTCAGAGAAGCCATTACTTTCCCAGACTCAGCATAGACCCTTCAGAACCTTCACCCAAGAAGAATGAAGGCCAGCCGACTGATAGTTCAAGCTACCAGCCGCTGTGGGGGTCCAGCAAACCTGTTGGTGTCACTCAGTCGCGTTCGCCAATCGACTAGTATTCTCGGTCCTGTAAGATTGCGCCAGAACCCAACACCTTGTACGTACAACAAGTCAGATTGGGTTATAGTTGATAGATGGTGAATCGTGCGTTACCTTGATAGCAAAAGTAGAAGCGTCGGGGAATATAGTCAATCGAGCGGCGGCGCGAACTGAGATACCAAAAGGCTGCGAATCGCACCGCACCTAGCGGTTTGAGTGCGAATTTAGAGAATAGAAGAGAGACAAGGTGGAGAAGCGACGTAAGATAAACAATGAGCGACGCTAGACCTGAGCTTGGGCCACGCAAAGTGTTGATAGTGAATGGTGAACTTGCGGGTCATATGACCAAGCTCTTTCGTCATTCTTTAGGCTACAGCGTCGAATTCATCACTCTCACTGTGTTGAAAGCTTAGCTCGATAAGGAACAGAGCAGGTATGCTTGTTAGGTGGACATGTTCTTCATGAACTATCACGCCTTTCGACATAAAGATTAAGATACCCAACGGGAATCATCCCCTTACGGACCTCGATTTGATGTAAACAAGCCAGCAAATATACGAGAGCTCACCAGCGAAGACTTCTGCTAATAGAGGGTCTGTAAACTATCCTTAATAAGCCATTAGCGGTCAGATGCGTTTCCATCCACCTCCTTTCACTTCCATCTACGCGACCCTCGACGCAACAGGCTTTCGTTACGTCGCATTAATTGTACTGAACCCTATGATATCCACGTTCTCCGCCAGTTTGTCAACCAACTTCGACTACAATGTCACCTTCACGATTGCAATCGCTACACACGGGGCAAGAACGCCGAGTTGGTGGGGCACTGGGAGGAGCTCTCAGGCCACGTGAAGACGAACATTCATAAGGAAAAGGTGGGCTAGAAAGAGTGAGATGCCAATGAAAATTTGAGGGGTTATTGAGGAGGAAGAATGCGACTGGAATCGAGATTAATAAGACTTACTTGCAGAAGAAGCGTGAGGAAGTTCTTGAAGCTAATATTGCTGACGATATCAAGTAGAAGAAGTGCAAGGTGGTCGATGACCCTGCATTAAGGGCAAGGTTGGCAAGGTTGGCCAGGTTGAGCGAATTTCCAAGGTTTCCTGGTCAAGCTGCCCACTTGCTCTTCAGGCTTATTGTAGATTATATCCTCATGTACAGTCGCAGTTAGCTCGATCGGCCTTTAGTAGATAATCCAACATGACTCCTTGACCGGACGGTACTTATGACTCTCCCCAGTCATGACCAGCTACCTTCATAATCCGACCGTAAGAGCTCACAACCATACAAGCACAAAGCATATTTCACAAGGCGAAAAATCAGTATGAGTGACTTAGTATCATTCCTATAGTCCCTTGCTCCCAGTGTGATGCAAGTGCCTTTCCAGTCCCTACCATGCCATGCCATGCCTAACCTATGCACCCACCCTAGCCGCTATTGAACAAGCAGAAGTTCAATCAAAATGAAAAAAACAAGGCTAAATTATGGATACATGGAAGAAAGATCAAAGCGAGTGTAGTTTGGATGCATTAAAAAGCAATCCACCTCCAAGCGTAAAACCAGAAACGCGCTAAAAAAAAAAAGTTTGAGGGGACGGAGGCCGAGTCCACCTGAAGTTTGAAAATGCAGAAAGATTTCATGATACAAACACCATCGCTGAAGCGCAAGGTTGAGAACGCTTGTTTAAAAACATTCGCTATGAGAGAACGCGAAGGGCCGGTTCAGATGAGGCGGTGTGGTAGTTTGCAGATCGAAAAAGGAATTCGTGAACGGCTGTGGAGCCGGAAAAAAAGGCAACGCGTTTGCTGATGTCGCAGATGCCGGGCCGGACAAGTCTATTGTGTCGTGAACTCGTGTTTAGTGGGTATCAGTTTCTTTTGGGCGATGTTGCTGGGGCCGCACGGTTGTGCAGACCCCTCTGGTTCTGGAACGTTGTGTTACAAAAATGAACAGTATGCTATCGGGGACTCCAGAACGGTAAGGCTCTACGGTCGTATCGTCCCCGTGGTTTTGTTGATACAGGTGATATATTCCTCCTCTTTTCTTTGCTCTCTACGTTGTCGAGTTCCTTTTTGCGCTCGATATCTGGGTCGTAGTAATGGGATGCCGTAACAGGGACCTTGAATTCCTGCGTACTGAGAGGCAGTGTGTACTTGAAGTTACCCCTCACGATCAACTCGAAAGGATATTGCAGGACTTCCTCCCATCGCTCGCTGCCTCCGGCTTCTGTCTTATTTCCGGGGTACAAAAGTCGAATCTCGCCAATAGATTCGGCGCGTTTCCGCTGGAAAAAGGAACCTTCAAAGTTTAGTGGTGAGTCGAAGTGGGCAATGCGTCCTAGAAGCATGGTACGAGGTTCGCCCTCAATGGGATCTGTCCCTTCATCTACACCAGCAATCGAGATCTCTGGAATTGCTTCTTCTTCGATGGGTGTCCAGTGTTCTACATCGTCGTGTGGACCGTTCCCGTGCTCGCGCCACCAAGCATCTGATCCAACGTGCTTGCTCTTAGCAAACAGCGAGACCTCCATGTCGGAGACAGTAACGCCGATGATGTTGGGATTCACCGCGTTAACTATGAGATCCAGCATAACCTCCTCTTGACTCGCTACAACATTCTGTATGTCTCGCACCACGAGACTAGTGAGAGGCTTCGTGGTAGCAAAAACAAGGCCAATAGCGCAGAACACAACGACGAGCAGCAGAATCGTAAGGACGAGGCAGCCCGCGAAACGGCGACACCATCCGCCATCGCGATGATGCCGGCGCTCTAGTTGGCGTATGGTGGTGGTATTGCGCTGGCGGGAGGTTCGGGTAGAACGTGGACTTCGTCCAGATTGAATCAGCGGTGTGCGCTCATCATCGGCAATGTTTTCGGCGTCGATATCGTATGCTGCCGAATATTCTCCACTTTTCTTGCTGCCATTGCTATGACCGTTCCCAACATTGAAGGTGTGGAAGCGAGGGCTGTTGGGTTGCGACGCATTTCTTGATGACGGGCCACGTGCGCGCGAAGACTGTGGTACCGATGTGTCACTCTCCATAGCAAGGTGGCTGAGTGCGCCGCGACCCTGGCCATGTCGTCCAATGTGGTGATGATGACTGCCTCCACCCGCTCGCCCGGAGCCTATCCGGATGGTGCCCTCGCCTCGATCATCGCCGTCAATGCTCGGGTTGTTGTACGGGTTCGTGAACTTTATGCTGCTCTTCTTACTCGGGTGCTTGTGCGTGTCGCGTATCTGGAGTCGTGGGTCCGTGAGGCTGGCTAGCGACGTCATGCTTGGCGTTCGTGAGTGATGTTGGCGGCTGCGGTGCGGCTGTTCGGGAGGGTTCGACTCATAGATGAAGGTCGCATCGGAGTCAGAGGAGTCGGCCTCATCAACCGCGCTGGCCACCTTTTGTTCGAATACATCGGCTTTGGACGAAGCTGTACGGGTACTTGTGTTAGTGCTTGAATAAAAATATTTGAGAGGGGGGCGAAGAGGAGCCATGCGAAGCTCTGAACTCGGGGGCGACATGGTCAATAACGAGCGCCGGTCGTCATACGAACGGTATGAGACGGGGCTGCCGAATGACGGGTTCATGCTTGAGCGAGAACCGGGGTCCGGCCGGCTCGGGGTGTAATAGTGGTACGAAATGTGTTGCAACCTACCAGTGCCTGCATTAATGGATGCGGCTTTGCGCTTGGGGGCTTTCCTTTCCTTCTTGGGTCGAATCGTCTCGTTGCTGGCCTTTAGTCGTATTCCACCATCTACGCGACCAGACGCGGACCGGTCCTGGTTCACTATGGATGGCTGCGCGACAGAGGGCACGGTCTCAGTTTCGACTGTCATGTTGCGGAGCGGCGGGTCTCGCGATCGCGTCGACATTGAAGAGAGGGAGGGCTTTGCGGAGACGGTGTGTGGGCGATGGGTGTACGTGTTGCGCTGCTCCTGCATCTTGCCCTTCTTGGCGCTCTTGGTCGCGCTGTCGCTACCACTCTCTGTGTGCTTGGTGTTGTCGTGCTTGGTGCTGAGGTCTTCAGTAACTTTGGACGAATTGACGTCATTTCGGTCCTGATCGGTTTTGTGGGCAGTCGCTGAGGGAACAAAGCTAAGAACGAGGTTAACAAAGTTTGCGGATGGGAACGGAAATTGGCTCCGTGGTTAGTCTAACGTGCGTCGCGATGACAAACAGTGGGGCCGTTGCGGGGAAAGCGTACCTTTGCGGCTCTAGACCATCAAATCCGGGTGTGGCAGGCAAGCTAGATTCTTGCACCGTTGCCAGCTTGGGAGCCACGCCGCCGGAACTCCGCGAGGTTGCTTTGGGCGCAGGCTGTGGCTGAGGCTCGTCGGGGTCGCTTGCGGGCGCCTCTTCTCTCACTGGGAAGCGGGAGAGCGAGGCGGGCGACGAGCTCTGGACAACAATTGAGGGTGCAGATTGAGCTTCGGGCTTCCTAATTTGCGCACGCAGCGAGTTTGTGCGCGAACGTGAGCGGCCGTCATCGCCCGGTGGTGGTGATTTGAGGCGCGGCGAGAGGGGCCAATGGGGAGTCGTCTCGCCAGAATTCGACTTTGAAGATGGCTTGGAAGGGCGCGGGGCTCGTACAGTGTCGGTCGATGAGGTAGGCGTGAGCTCAGGTATGCTGGTGGAGGACAGAGCTCGCTGCACCGTCGGGGAGGCATGGCCTGGGGCGGCGGCGGTCGTCGAGTTGGACAGGCTGGAACCTCGACTTGGGCTGGCATCGGCGCTGCTCTTGCGTGTTCTGAAGGAAGGCCTGGCAGTCGTGCCTGCGCCCGACGGGGTGGCATTGCGCTTGTGCGGGCGAGGAGAAGCCTCTCGCGACGACAGCGGCGAGGGGGAGTTGGTCGCATGGAACAGGCGCTGGCCAGCCGAGTTTTGGCCCATGGGCGGAGCAGACGTGTCTCTGGCCATGTCTGCTGTGGAGTCGTCGCGGGTGGTTGACGTAGTGGGCTCTGCACTCTCCTCGACGCCTGTGAAGGACTCAAAGGCGTTGAGTTCGTCAGCGGCGGTGGATCTGGACGAAGCCATCATGGACGTGCTTTTGCTTCAATGGGCCAAAGCACTCGTGGCATCTCGTGCGGGTTCGGGCCTGGACAACAGCGCGGCCCGGTACGAATAGGCGGTCAAAGCGATGAGGCTGCTGTAATGAGTACGACTACGCGTCAAACGGTTGTTGGGTAGCGTGGGGACTGAGTTGTCGCTGTCGGAACAGGGGGGTTGGCAATAGGCGACGATGTAGACGGTTTAACGTCGTGCTGAAGCGCTGCAGGTCGATGATGTAGGGTAGTGTAGGATCGATCCAAGGCAGGATGCCATTGTCGGGCCAGCCCTGGGCGGGAACGCTGACGAGGCGCTTTCAGGCTGCAGGCACAATTTGACAGCGCATCACAAAGACGTACCCGGAATGAGACGAATAACACAACTTCGCCTTGTCAGCTGCGGCCTGCCCATCTTATGGCAGACGCTTCAGAATTACCCGTGGCCTGTACAACCAACACCGTGATAGCGATAGCCAGGAAACTAGGTTCCCTTCAGGGTTTCGCGCCATGTCGGCACTCGAGCAGAAGCAAATCCCATGCACAACACAACTGGCAAGTGAGCAGCACCCCACGTACTTCAGCAACCATCCCACACCTGCTCACGTAGTTTCCTGTCTGTCACTCGTGGGTCGGCACGCTCTCACCTCAGACGGGTATGAGTCTACCCAATAGCCCCCTGGAGGATCCCACTGTGTGCCGGCTGCTGCCCTTTAGCCGGCCGAAACACCATTGAGACGCTGTAACCACGGGAGCGCATTGCCATACATGCCATGTTCAAGAGGCGCAGCACTTTTCCGTGTGACATGATGAATGGTCATCGATCATGGTCCAATTTCGACTCCCTTTGGGCCCGCGCAACAGAGTGACATCTCTCGTGCCCAACCGACGGCGTGGACAGCATGCACTTTCAACTTCTTCGGAAATGCTGAGGAGACTTGCCAGCCTTAGAAGGCGAACAAAAGACAATATAACTGTCTCATTTAAATATGGAATTCACGTGCAAACAACACGTCGCATGTTCTTCCTCATCAATCCTAGATCCGAGCTTGCACCGGGCTTTTCCGACCCCGACTGTCCGCGATAAGATCATCTTTACATCTAATCAGATCGAATTTTCCACGCTAGTCTCCTTCACGAACGCCTTCACTCCACCCTACTCATCCTTATTACTACTCTAGGTATCGATTTTCTCGTACCAAGCTATGCCAAGTCCTCAAGACTGTTGTATAGTCATATAACCGGTGCAAAAATCGAAGGTGCTTCCAGTGATGTGGTTTTGGAGGGGCCAATGGTGGATCGATGGTGGTCTGAAGGAGTGCGTTCCTGGGTCTTATACGAGTGTTGAACGGGTGTATTAGGGCTCTAGAAGCCTGAGCGTGATATAAGAGTATGCTGTGAAAACCTATACTGCTTGAACGTGGCATCTCTCGTTGCTGATCTCTTCCGCCTCGTTCTCTGGTCACACTGTGATCACTCCGCCCTTTTCAATTATGCACTTCTTTGATCGTTCCAAAGACAGGGCCACTGACTCGGTCGAGCCTGTTGAGGCTTCTCGTCAAACCAGCGATGCGGAAAAAGGCGCCCAGACAGATGGCCCCCACGACACGGTCAGCGACGAAGAAAGTCTCTCCAGCAACGTTCAGGCAGGTGTCAAGGCCGTCCAAGCTGCAGCATCAGTATGGACAAAACACCATCTTATTGGCGCCTATGTTATGTTTGTCACCCCCTTTCGTTCACATCTTCGTCCAGTATGTTCACTGACACCCACGCAGCATCTGGTGGATCTACTTCGTCACCGCCCTCCAAGAAGTCGTCGTCCGCGCCATGAATCCCTATGTCACCAGTGCCTTCCGTCTGCACTCTCTTACTGCCGCTACTGGAATCATGTCCTCCATCATTGGCGGGCTGTCCAAGATTCCCTTGGCCAAGCTACTCGATATGTGGGGTCGACCTCAGGGGCTCTTGCTCTCACTATTTGTATGGATGGTGGGATACATCATGATGGCTTCATGCCAGAATGTAGAGACATATGCTGCGGCGCAAGTATTCTCGTCTACAGGGTATGTAATTCTTGTTCATTACCGATCAAAATAAGAAGATGTTAACGCTGACACGATGATATCCAGATCTCAAGCAGTATCGTACATTCTTACTGTCTTCATCGCCGATACCTCGACCCTCAAGAATCGCGCCCTCATGCTCTCCTTCGCAACCTCGCCCTACGTAATCACAACTTGGATCGGCGGTCCTGTTGCTCAATCCGTTCTCGCTGGCCCCGGCTGGCGCTGGGCGTTTGGCATCTTCACAATCGTCATCCCCGTCGTCGTCGTTCCTCTTGCAGCCTTGGTTCTCTTCAACGATCGCAAAGCCCGTAAACAAGGTCTACTCGAGCCACGCCGCATTGACTGGAGCCCGGCAGCCATCAAGAAGTTCTGCATCGATATTGATGCCGTGGGAATACTGATCTTGGTAGCAGGCATGGCGTTGTTCTTGCTGCCATTCAGTCTATACAGCTACCAAGCGGAGAAGTGGAAGAGTCCCATGATCATTGGTATGATCGTCGCTGGCTTCGTCCTTCTCATCGCCTTCCCCATCTGGGAAAGGTTCTTTGCGCCCGTTACGTTCATCCCGTATAAATTGCTCCTGGATCGAACCGTCTTCCTTGCCGGCGTCATGTTCGTTTTTGTTTACTTCAACAGCGCGGTTTGGGGATCATACTTCGGCTCCATGTTGCAAGTGGTTTGGAACCTCAACGTCACTACGGCCAGTTATGTCCAGAGCATCTACCGCGTTGTCTCCTGCTTCTGGTGTTTGGCAGCCGTGGGACCAGCAATTAGGATTACAGGAAGGTTCAAGTGGGTTGCTGTCTTCTTTGCACTGCCGATTGATATCCTAGCGCTGGGACTAATGATTCACTTCCGGCAGCCTGGAACATCAGTGGGGTACATTGTCATGACGCAGATCTTCACGGCAGTAGCTGGAGGCACCATCGTTATCGCTGGCGAGCTGGCCATGATGGCGCCTTCGGATCATCAGCACATGGCTGTCATTATCGCCGTTCTCAACCTCTTCTGCTCTATTGGTAGCGCGGTTGGAAGTACTGTCTCCGCTGCTATCTGGACTGGGACCTTTTACAACAATCTTGTCAAGAACGTTCCGGCTGGTGTCAATGTTGCGGACATCTACGCTTCATTGCCGAACCAGCTATCATACAAGTGGGGATCGCCGGAGAGGACTGGTATCACGCAGTCTTACGCCGACTCGCAGCGACTCATGTTGATCACGAGTATTTGCATGCTGTCATGCGCTCTCATTGCGGCTGCGTTCTGGCGCGATATCAACGTCAAGAACATCAAGCAGGTCAAGGGACGCGTCGTCTGAGCGGTATCCAGGTACGAGTAAAGAGGCCATCATGCTTTTCCGCACGGAAGCATGAAGGCAATAGCAGAAGAAGAGTACGTGCATAGACAATTCCCCGTGTGATTGTTTCAAAACGTCCATGGAAAACCACGTAGATCATATATATCCAACAACCACCATCATCACGCATAAAGCTCATCCCCGTCGCACATCCTCTTGTCGATAGACAACAGCATGATCCTAGTCGCTGTAAGCCTGTGCAAGGTGCGCATAAACGTCGTAATCCCATCTGATACAGGTCCGAGCTGGGATGTGTCAAACATGCCACCAACCAGATCCCAGCTGTCAGTGTTTCGAATCGACCGACTCCACAGCACATGGTATCTTGGAAGCTGAGCAACCTTCTGGAAGGGCAAAAGAGATTACACAAAGTACTGTTTCGTGAATCAAGAGGAAACAGCGGCATAGGTCGAGGACGTGTGTAATGCGGGGGCTGAGCCTGTATCCCATGCTTAATGTGTAGCGACTCAAGATATGTAAAGAACAACTCGCCAGCAACAAATATGCAAGATACAATCTTCCATCTTACTTAATATCGATTCTTATCGTATCCACAGTCTTTTCCGATTCACCATGCCGTCATTCGCTTTCTGGAAGAGCTCCAAAGGCGATCCTACGAAGACACCACTGCTTACTGAGGATGTTGCGACTGAGCAACCCAGTATCCTCATTCCTTTGGTAGCAAAGGACTTGAACCTGAATCCAGATGGCGAAGATTCCGGTGTCTTCCTTTTTGACGATGACGCCATGCCACTACAATCACCACAACCTGACCTAGTATCAGAGACCGAGCCGCTCATCGCATCACCATCTGCTGCTGAACAAGATCTTTCGACTAGGGAGTCGGAGCAAGAAGTCCACTCCAAAGTCAGAAATTACTCGAAGAAGTTGATTTCCACCGACAATGATGATCCGCCAGTACCACCACCCAAATCATCGCCATCAGGGCAACTCCAATGTGCTACTGCAGCGGATGAGTCGCGTGCCATCATCAACGAAGAGCGATCGGGACATCCCCAACAGGCTCAAGAAAAACTTCCAAAACAGCTGGAACCTTTGTCTTCTTCTCTTGAGCGGTCCCCCAACCACGAAAACTCCCTCAAAAGACCAGTACCGTCCGCAATGGACAAAACCTCGACTCAATCCCACGACCGAGACTCCGGTGTGTACGTCTCAGACGACGAAAACCTACCACCACAATCGCGGCCCGCATCTCTTGCGCTCAGCGACTTCAACCAGCGATCAAGAAACGCATCCGTCTCTTCAAAGCACACTGCTTCAGCATCGACGTCTTCGCCTCGGCAACGCACAGATTCAATTGCACGTCTGAAGCGACCCGCAGAGCTGAATCTAGGGGCAAACCCAGTATCCGACTCATCCAAGCCACGCTCCGAGCTCGAGAAGCGTTACGATTTGATCCGCAATTCGAAGACTCAATCGAAAGCCGCTCTGAGGTCACCCACAGCGCTACTACAGGAACGACTGAACATGTCGACGAAGAAAGAAAGGGTCGAGGAAGAAAAGACGCGCGTGTTTACACCACCGAGGCAGACGACAAATGGCTGCTGGCTTCCAGGTCCAGGTGCTCAGGTGGATGCGTTCACCAGCACATCAGTTCGTGCGCGAACAGAAGCTGAAAGTCGACCTGCGTGGTGGTGCAAGGTCGACAAGCTCGTTGTGTTCGACGGTGTTGACGTTGACAGCGAGGGAGACATGAAGATTTACACCCGCACTAGCAAGGGTCTCAGCATCGCACGTCGACGCGGCGACATGGAGACGATTGTCATTCCGATGGACTGTGCACACTGTCAGGAGATGCTGAACCGACATGAGTGGAAGTACGACATGCGCGTATGTAAGAGAAGTGTATGCTGGGATTGCAAAGAGAGGTGCAAGTGGGAACTGGAACAAGAGCAGCTTGTGCATGAGGAGACAGCAGCCAAGGCGGATGGCAACAGATATCGTGCGGACAGTGTCTTGCAAGACGAAGAGCCAGAAGAAGAACGTATGATGCAAGAGATTGGTATTGAGCAAGAACGGTCGATGAGCCCGATCGAGGCGATAGGTGGAATTGAAGAAAGACTAGAAAGTAGGAAAGTGGTTACTTGAGACAGAAGTAACGTGACGCGAGCTCGAGGGGAAGGCGAACGCAGAATGAATCCGATCATGTGCACTGGGCATATGAGCGCTGCGGCTCAGTCTCTGTGCTTATGACGAGGCAGACAGAAAGAGAGGGGGCGAGTAGGAGTAGATACAAATCAAGAGTACGTAGTCAACTGACCTTGTCTCGTTATGCATTACTACAGATTTCTCGCGGTTATATGCTCTCGCTATTCCCAGAACGTTTTTCATCGGCGTGGATTGAAGATGTCAGCATAGTTTGAAGAGTACAACTCAGGAGCTGCGCTCGTTGTGTGCTTGCTCCATCTGAGAAGTGAAGCAAGGGTGTGCGTATACCGTCGGGTACGCTGGTTCGCGGCGCGTGAGTAGTGGAAAGTCTTGTTCCTCCATGGATAATACTGTATATATCACATTCAATCCAGCTCCATCGCGTCGTCCATGTATTCAAATGGTGTATCCTCAATCTCCATGCTCATATGTCCGTACATGTTCTTCGGTTCAAAGTCTTGGCTAGTCAGTGCACGCCCATTTGTAGTATCGTCGGAATGCTGCTGCACTGCTTCGTGAGCAAGGTCACATCCGCCAATGATATTGCGCAACATATCTTCTAGCTGCAAATTTTGAAGCGTTATATGTGCGCGCTCGTCGCCGTCGGAAATGTTTGCCTTGCTATCCGCATCTTTCCAAGCATTACGGTATTCTTTTGCGATGCCTAGTTGTACACGGACCTCTTGTAGACCTAGTGATCCTGCCAACGGACACTTCTCGTCATCCAATGCTTCTAGAAGGTTGGCGTGGAATGCATGCGAAGCCATCGGTCGCGTTCGGTGAAGCTCGGGGTTGGTCTCGTAACGGAGGGCATTGAAGTTTATGCGCGGCGCGGAGGTAGAAACAAAAACGCCGAATATAGCGAGACAATCTGTGATGTAACGCTCTAGTAGCGTGTAAAACTCGAAGAAGTCTACCTTGAACATGGATTCGGCTTGCTTCTGCGCAATGTCAGTCTCGCGGCGTCCAGGCTGTTGAGGCTCGTAACCACTTACACTCGACGCGCCGCTACCCATTGCATGCTGGGACTGGTGATCCCCATTCTGCTGAGCAGCTGCCTGTACAATCTCCATGGTTCGAAAGTAAGACACCATGAGCATTTCTGCTTTCCACCGGACGCGTCCTAACAGTCGCGTAACTCGATCTTTGTCCTGCTTGAGCTTATCGGCTTTTGATTGCGCTAGCCTCTCTGCGGGCGTCTTCGGTGCAAATTTGGAGGTCTTCATCGTAGTTGTGATTGGTGTTGTCTCGTTCGGGGTGGATATTGAGATTAAGCTACGGAAGTGAGTAGCCTTCAAGCAATTAACTACTCATTGATTGAAAAGCACCAAGGAGCGGTAAGATTTATCGCTTGGACGCATCGAACTTTCACGGAAATTTCACTACACAAGTTGAGCATTGTAAGGATATAGTGTGAACATGACCGCGAGCTGTTGCGGACGTTGTGTAAGAGCAGCTGGTGTTGACAGTTCGTGCCGAGGCTTGCCGCTGAGTCAGCCCCTGTTCTGGAGCACTTCCGCCTTGTGGTTGATTGGACATCTGACGTTTATACAATTTGGAGGACAGTAGATATCTTCAAAGGACAATGTCAGAACACAATGTCTATACAAATGCAACGCGACTACTGAAATGCTTGCAGCTATCCATCCACCACATCATATCATCGCCTCATAAAGGTATGCTTATCCCATAACCCCTGGAACGCCATGCCTACAATAGTTGATCTAGAAGTTACCAACAACCCTCTTGACCATTCTCCTCATACCCTCACCACTAATTTGGACAGCACCCTCAAGCTCGGCACTGCGCAATACCTCAAGGAACTCCTGATTTTCCACTTGTTCACTAGCACCTTCCCTGACCTTCTTGACCAGGTCGTTCATGCGCACGCTCTGGCCAGCAGAACCAAGCTCGTCGAGCGAGGCTAGCACAGCGCGCTTGAGATCTTCTTTCTTGCGACGATCGCTGGTCGAAGTGCCTTCAGTGAGAAGCGACATGTCGATAAGACCTGTACGTGCATCCGTAGCTGCCTGCTTGAGCGCTGACTTGATGAGACGGACGGCTTCGTGAACGTCGTCAGCCGTAACTTCTTCTGACAAACGCATCTTGGCGTGGGCTTCAGAGAGACGGATCATTGATTCTAATTGACGTGTAGTTGCGGTAATTCTTCGCTCTTGTGAGCGAATGTCAGCACCAAGACCACGCATCGCAACGTAAGCATCCACAAGAGCTTTTGATGCAGGCTCGGTGATCTTCGGGTGGATATTTGAGCGCGCATAGGAGATGTATGCGGTCAAAAATTCGATAGGCATTACTTCGCTCTTAGAAGCATTCTCAGGCGTATCTTCAAGATACATGCCGACCAGGTGACGAGCCATGCGACGATCGTTTTGCTCGTCAATACGATCTAGGACAAGGTATACAAGATCGAAACGTGAGAGGAGTGTGGGTGGGAGGTCGATGTTTTGAGGGACGGGAAGGTTGACGTTGTATTTCGATCCGATAGGATTGGCAGATGCAAGAATCGAAGTACGGGCATTAAGGGTTGTGATGATACCAGCTTTGGCGATGGAAACTGTTTGCTGTTCCATAACTTCGTGGAGAACGGATCGAGTTGCCTCAGACATCTTGTCGAACTCATCGATGCAGCATACACCACCATCAGACAAGACTAGCGCACCAGACTCAAGCACCAGCTGTCGTGTCTCAGGATCGCGGGTAACGTACGCAGTCAAACCGACAGCAGAGGAACCCTTTCCAGAAGTGTACACACCTCGTGGCGCAATTCTGTGTACGTACTGCAGAATCTGAGATTTGGCTGTGGAAGGATCACCACAGAGCAGAACGTTGATGTCGCCACGGTATTTCGGGCTACCTCCTTTTTCGAACTGCTTGTTAGTACCGCCAAAGAGCTGGAGCAGAATGCCCTTCTTGACATCGTCCATCTCGTAGATACTGGGCGCCAACGAGCGAGAAAGGAGTTCGTAAACGTCAGGACGAGCACCAGTAGCCTTGATCTTCTCCTCTTCCTCTTCGGAAACTTTGCGGGTTTCTTCCAGATCACCAGCTGCGTGCTCAGCGAGCTCTTCTTCGATTGTCGATACGTCAATACCGAGTCGCTTCTTGTCAACTTTCTGAATGTGAAGCGCATCGACATATGTCTTGAAGATGTTCTTTACTGATCGCTGGCGCGGATTGATGCGGACCTGGTTACACTTGAAGATACCAGTAATCTCAACACGGTCACCGGCTTTGCATACGTCGACGAGCTCGTCATATGCGCACAGGGACACTGAATGCGGTGTCTGACCGTCCGGCATGTCATCTGGTGTCTCTTGTAGCTTGATGACCTGTTTGTTTGCAAAGCCTGAGCGGTTGTGCACGATCTGCATCGAGTTTGGCGACTCGCATACGGCGCGCGGGCACTTGGTGGGCTCGGTAATCTTGCCACGGTCAATGTCGACCCTGACAGTATGATTACATACAGAGCAGCGGAAGAAAGCTAGCCAGATTAGCCGAGGACTTTGACAGTGATCTTGTGAACTTACCGTCCTTCATGTCTGGGATGATCGGTGTAGTCCTAATCACCAGACCCTTCACACTGACAAGCTTGTCCATGTCGCCAGGGTTGAGCTCGCGCAAGTTGATGGTATGATCTAGACCGAATGGCCTAACGTTGTATGTTTTCTGGTCAACTTCGCTGACCAAGTTCGGGATTTCCGCGAACGGAGCAGGAGACGGGGCACCGGGAGTAGGCGCATCAGAGCTCAACATGGGCGGGAGCGAACTGGAATCGCGAGCCCTAGGTTGAGCAGCACGCTGTGCTTGTGACATCTGAGTTCGCATCTCTGCCATGCGCTTCTCAGCAAGTTCGAGCATGGTGTCCTTGATTGCAACATCCATGATGGGAATGATTTCGTTGGGGTAGGCCTGCAGTTGGTGCCAAAGCTTTCTGGTCGGTGGGTAAGCCTTGAGATTGCGCGCGTCCAAGTTCAAAGGCGTAACACCAAGCTCCAGCATCATCTTCATGATATCGACATATTCCCTAGCCATGGCTGGATGATTATCTGGGAGATTCATGCCCTCGTTCAGCTCGCCGTCCTGGATCATGCGATACTTTCTTCGGAAGTTCATCAAGAAGTCTCTCATGGCATGTCTGGCGTCTACGAGCGATACGTTGGTTCCCCAAATGACTCGAGAGGAGTTTCCGCCTAAGACCTCCGCGTCTGAAGTATCCGGGTTGATGTTGGAGAAGGTTGGTGCGTCTGAAGGCTCCTGTACAGGCATGCCATTCTCATCGACAAATAACCTGCGTCGACGATTGGTAGAGCTCGTGCCAAAGACGTCTGAGTGGATGTCGCTTCGTCGATTGCGAGCCGCGGATTCGGAGCCACGTACAAAAAGGGCACTGCTGCTGCTTCCAGGGACGTTGCTTTGGGCATTGCGGGCACGGCCAGGGCTAGAGCTAGATGCGTAGTGAATGGGCGACGAATCTAAGTTTGTCAATGACATGTCTAACACTTGATATCGAGTATTCCGTACCCCCCATCGTCTGTGCAGACGCTTTTGGTGTCGCACCACCATCGCTCTCGTCCTCGCCATTAGCTTGTCCTGCGCCGGAGGGGTTGGCTGGCGATGAGCGGAAGAAGAGCGGGGATTGTGTCGAAGTGGTCTGAAATCTTGCATTGCGTGGAGTTGCTAGCGATCCACGCTGTGAGGCCTGCGAAGCCTCAGACTGCAACTGCTCGTCTGGACCCGCCGGCGCTGGGCTGCTGTCAGGTATCTGAGAATTTTGACCACGGGCGCTTCGTCTTGGAGTCGCCGATGCAGATGTGCGCTCGGAGCGGCGCTTCGCTGGGGAAGAGTCCATGGTTGTGGCACTCTATGCGGCAGCAACAGTGAACGTGTTGTTGTTGTTTTAGAGGGGTTGCTAGGGATGGTGGGCTTGTCGCGCGCTCTCCTTTCGACGCGTGGGCACAGGGACGCGTTCAGTCTAGTCTACAAATGGACGTAAGTGGTCTTGGCACCTCAGTTGAAGCTGCAGCTCGAAGGCTGAAAGACGACTAAGAGTCAACTAAATCTTCATGAAAGACTGGAAACAGATGCAAGATTGTCGTAGTTCAACACCGCAACGTTCCGCTGGTCCATATGTCCACACGCTGTAAACCAATTCCTACGTAGTGGGGCGGCAGCTAGCCCCGCCGTGAACAAATGTTTACAAGCAAGCAACCACATAAACCGACGTATATCAACTGAGGTCTTTGTTCGTCTGTCTCTCTAAATTACAAACACGTCTACTTCAATTCCCATTCCAACATGGCTCCTCCGTCCAAGCTCGCTATTGCAACTGGCGTCGTGACCCGCCTTGTCAAGGAAGAAGCAAGCTACCACAAGGAGATCGAGCAGCAAGAGGCGCGCATCAAGAAGGCCGAGACCAGTGAGGGCGACGATAATGCTGAGTACACCTTGAGGCAAGAGGTATGCGTAGCCACCAAGAAGGATATCTGGCACACCAGGTCTAACAATAGCACAGCGTCAAGCCCTCCAAGAAACCAAGAATGTTCTGCCTGGCATGAAGACCAAGATCGAGCAGGCAGTGGAGAAGCTGGAGGAGGAGCTGGTAAGTCCACATTATAGTTGGGTTGATTACCTAGTACTGATAACTTGTAGGAGAACAACAAGGAAGGCGGCGGCCAGGCATCACCAGAGGAAGTCACCAAGGCGAAAGAGGCTGTTGAGAAGGGCAAGGCAGCTATGCGTGAGGCCGCTTAGACTCGTGATCACTGGAGAGACAGGTAGTTGGTACTGCAGCTGGCCATGGCACCGCTATAAAGAAGATGGAATGATACCCTGAACACCGCGCTATGCAATCAAATCATCAAGCAGACTGCTGTTCAAGCACAATCACGACTCGTCCATCTTGACCTCTGAGCGATCTTCGCCGTCTTCCTCCCCATCTTCAAGGTCTTCGCCTTCTTCAAGACCGGAGGAATCACCATCGTTTCCATCTCCTGAGTTTGCCCCCATATCTACCATCTCTGCGTCATCCGCAGCACCAGACCTGGCAGGCGATGGCGCAGCGCTGACGTCCCGCGATAGAGGCTTCAAGCGATCCTGTGGTGGTACCCTCAGAGACGAACCTTCTCCACTCTGACTGGCATGCCCTGGAGTCATGCCACCGTCCGGCCTCGGGGTGCCGGCATGGCTGACATCTCCCCTAGAAGTGCTGCCCTCGCCCTCACCATCCTCGTCTCCATCCTTCATCATGCCCTCCTTGCGCTCAGCTTCCTCTTTCTCGTCCTTGATCATCCGTAACATGCCGCGTGCCTCTTCCTCGATTCGTCCGAATTGCGTACGGCGCTCACTCCAGGTATTCTTCGCCGATTGCACTTCGTTTCTGAGTTCTTCTATCTCCTGGTCCAGCTTCTCGTGAGCATGTGCTTGCTCGTCCCGTGGCTTCAGCATCTTACTGCTGGTGATCTTCTCTGTGAGCTCGTCATACGTCTTACGTACGGCGAGCGTCTCTTTCGCCTCGACTAGTCTGATGCGCAGATCTTCTATCGTCTTGCGCACGTGCTCTTGCTTTGCCTCGATGGCCGTCTTCTCAACAGCGTAACGCTCGCGCTCAGTGTGATTGCTATTCGTGGTGAACTCAGATCGCAGTATCGCAAAGTCTAGTAGTGACAGCTCATTCATGATGTCTTTCCGCCATATCTCGATATTGTGTGCTTGTTGCTCGCGCTCGACAATGGCTGCCGCTGCTTCCTCCTCTGCGGCGGAGGCATCTGGGGGCGGAGAGGGGAGTTGTCTGGGGCGCGCATCCTCGAAGAAGTCCGGCTTGAGTATGCGACCGGCGGTGTTTGTGTACGGACGAGCTTCGACAGCTAGTAGGCGGGATACATTATGAAGCGCATCTGCTGGAATTAGTAGAAGCTACGTGCCGGATGTTAGATGGCCTACCTTCGTCCGCTTGGGATAAGAGGCCCCAGTCCTTGATCGCCATTCTTTCCCGTTTATGCTACTGGCGTAGAGAGGTTATTGGTATAGGGTAAGTCGTTGTCGTTGTTGAAGTCGCGATATTGAAGTTCCGCGGGTTGATGAACGCGTACGACAAGGGTCTCTGTTAGCGTCCAGCACCGCTACCAGACGTCAGCGACAAGTCCCCAACACCTTCCTCATCACTTTCGCCTTCACCTCCCTTGGTTCACTTTTCACTAAGTCGCTTAACGTTGTTCTGGCAAGCGCTATCTACCCAGTAAACCTCTCTTTCCGAACTAGCCTACCGAGATGCTGTCGTGAGTTCCGTGGGGTCCTCAGCCCCATCCTACGGTCCACGCTGCCCTCATTCCGCCTATTCATGATTCACGTCACGTAGCAGTCACCCTACCAACGAGATTTCACGGCAAACTATATTTATACAATCAGCGACTCCTGAATTACCGCACCGTTCAACCCTTGACTTTCGCCTCGCAACATTCTGTACCCTTCGCTTTTGGATAGACCCTGTAATAAACCGTCCCATCACCATGCCCGTCGCAAGCCTTTTCGAGCTGGCTCGACAGCGCCTGATTAAGAACATCGACATGCTCCGAGATGTTGGCGATCTACCCTACTCCTTCCTGCAACCAGTCCTCCGATTCGTACAAAGCCCAGACCAGCTCCTCGAGCTCGAGGCAAACTGCCCACAGTTACTCGGAGAGACGGGCGAGATTTGGCTCCGCTTCATTAAGCGCGACATTCCAGACTGGGAGAAGAAGCCGCACGAGCCGCGCGATCCTCGAAACTGGAGCAAAGTTTACCGCAAATTGAAGAAAGATGCGGAACTGGAGAAAGAGGCCGACAAAGAGGCCCTCAAGCAGCAGATGCAGGCGCTGCAGAAAGATCGCGCACAGAACAAGACACTGATTGTGGAAACCAGATTTGGATACGGTGCTGGCGCCAGTAAGATGTTCACCGGCCGGACTACCAGCAGCTGGGGCCAACCCTCGGGTGCACCTGCGAAGACTGGCAAAGCCGCCTTCGATAAGCTGAAGCGTGGCATGTTCGATCACGGTCGCGAACGCCCGAAGGCTAGCCACATACCACAACATCTTCTAGAGCAGAGGAAGACCACCGTTAGGCAAGCACCGGCAAGGATGGTTAGGATGGCAGAAAACGAAGCTCCACGAAGCATGGTAGTGTCCAGACAAGCTTCGGCGTCTATTAGCAATAAACCCGAATCTCGCCCAACGCCGTCGTTATCCGCAAACCGCCCGAATATTACACAAAGGCCAGCACCACAGCAGCGCAATCCTCCACCACCCACACGGACGTCGTTACCCCCCGGGATGTCGTTCAGCGCACCCAAGCCAAGAGCGCCAAATGGGCAGTCAGCGCCTGACCCGACTTTGAAGAGGAAAAGGCCAGAATATAACATGTTTCACACAAAGAAGAAGAAGATATAAGACGTTAATGAGGCTGGCAGTGGCATGAGGTGTGTATAAAAGCTACACGTATAATCGGGCTTGTTGATACGCGTCAACTGGATGACCTAACATAGGGCTGACCACATTCGGTCTGTGGTTTCAGTAGCATCTGCTTTCTGGAGTTGAATTCGATAAATTGGTTTGTGGAGTTTGGAGACTCATTCGGCGGCGTTTCACTTTTGGTATTCCCTTACTTTTGGCATATGACCATAGACCTCTCTTCACATTTGTACATTTATCATTACCTTGGATCAGTCTTTGTTCAGCATACTGTACCTCGTCAGAACAGTGATGTTGTATCCTTTGAGTAGTCAAGAGCAAACCCCCCGCTGTTCATGTTCTCAGTGGTGCCTTCTTAAAGTGACAGTTTGGCTTATCATCAAAAGCGCACGACCCTGATGTAAACAAGTGGGCAAGAACGTCTCAGCCAGGACAACAATCTTCTCTCACCTACAATCGACTCGAACTCCTCACTGCCACTCTCTCCACCGTCACTAGCATTGCACTACCGCCATGATCACTGCTCGTGACAGAGCAAAAGCGGCTCTTGTTAGAGCGTCGCAACCGCCTTTTCGACTGCTCGACTTGCCGGTTGAGATTGTGGGTGGCATCTTCGATTATCTTAAGGATGAAGAACTTATCGGTCTACGCTGCGTATGTCGCGCGCTCAACGCCAATTCAGCAAATGCCTTTGGACGACGCTTTTTCCGTCACCTCGTTGTCATCCTGCACCCTACCAGTCTTACCATACTATTCGACATCTGCCATCACCCTGTATTATCCAAGTATGTCCGCCAGATCACCGTGAGCGGCGAACGCGTTGGGCACAGCATATATGAGGCCAAAGAAGAGAAACCCCAGAAAGATCTCCAAGCCAGTGTTCAGCGCTCCGGCATGGATTCGTTCATTCTCAAACAGGTATTCCGCGAGCTTGAAAACCTGAAGATTATTCAGATCGATACGATTAGTTTCTATTATCACGATCCCGAGCCCGGCGATGCCGGTATCCGGTGTGGACAAGCTCACTTACTTTCAATGAAGGGACAGGAGGCCGAGCCAAGGGGGAGGCGTGGAGACAGCGGCGCGAATTGAGTATATGACTTGGTTCTGCGGACTCTGCAAGAGGCCAATTTACACAACATCATAGGGCTGGGTTTTCAATTCTGGAACACAGAGTATTCCAACGACGACGTGATCACATTCTTTGATCTCGACTCCGCAGTCTGGAAAGACCACTTCTCAAAACAAGTACGTCAGGTTTCAGCCCTCGGCCAAGTCAGTCATGCATGGCTTCAAAAATTGCTCAGCACAGCTTCAGATTTGCGCAAGTTCGAGTTCCAAGGCGATTATACTTTCTTAGAGCTATCTTACCAGCCAGCTGGATCATTCCAATTCCACTGGCCTGGCTTCTCGCATGTTGATCTCACAGATGTGTTTATTTCGCACAATGAGTGGACGGACTTCCTTCGCCTGCACGCTGCGACTTTGAAACATATATCATGCTCATCCATAGGCTTTCCTCAAGGGAATTGGATCGAACCACTACAGATCATCGAGACAATGCCCAGGATCGAGTACCTATGGCTCTTCAGACTTCTCGAGAAAGCGCCCTACCCACACTCACCAATGACTGTGAGACGCTGGAGCCCGGACGACGATGGGGTCTTGCGGCTCTTCGACCCGGAGCTAGTGGAGCTTGCTCTCAGTGCCATGCGCAGCCAGCCTAGGACAGCGTTCATTGGCCGTAGCGTTAAGAGTGAAGCAGGCAGAGTATATCTCCACAGGGTCGCATTTGATGTTGGTGAAGCGGCACTGGAAGGAGATATCGTCTATCGAGATGGTGATTGGGTGTTTGCTGAAGTATCGGCAGACCTCTGAGAGCCTCTTCGACGCGAGAGGGAAGCCGGCCTATTCAGCCACTTCCTTGGGTTTGTGATTCCAGAATCCAGTATGATGGTGGTCCTCGGGTGGACTCTGGATAGAGTTACGATGTACTGCTTCCGTGAACGCGGCGTTTTTCATAATATGCATGTGCATTTAATAGCTCCAATACATGTACCCGAGTCATCTAATCTTAATGCAGTGTTTTCCCTTCATCGCGCCTCATCTCCATCCCCGCGAGTTCAACAGGAGGCTGCTCAATCTCCACAGGATTATATTTGTACGCCACCGCTCCTGGACCTAGCTCCTGGATGTGCTTTGCGTGCACCTCGACTGGTGTCACGGTTGTCACGCCTGTAAGCTCTGCAAAACCTCGTGCCCCCTGCAGACGTGCTGAGTTTCGCTTCTTCATGAAGAAAAACACTGCCAGTCCAACTATGATGCCCAGCGCTATTCCTCCACCGACTGCCGCCCCCACTATTGCGCCTGTCGACGGGCCCGAGGAGGCTGGGGGAGGTGGGGATGGCGACGGCGACGTTGTGGAACTAGGCGTAAGTGTTGTAGACGGCGAGGGACTGATGGCACCAGCGTCACAGAAGTCGATGCTGTAGTATACGAAAGTCGAATTGTAGCAATCGATCGGTTGGATTTCTTCTTGGTAGCCGGAACAGATGTCGACCGTCGTGTCGTTCATGTAAATGGTGACTATACAGATGGTTAGCATAGCCGTCTGAGCTATCGCGTCCTCATTCTCGCAAAGCACATACCAGCGCAGCCTGGGTCCAGTCCCACGACCTGGAAGCTTCCGTACGCGCCATTGCGCCTGAGATCTGTACAGGTGCCGTTGGGATAGCCGTTTGGGCCTTCGATACCTCTCAATGATTCTTGACAGTTATCATCGAAGAAGAGTGCGATCTGACTCGCCGCGATAACATGCGCTACGAACGCGCTAAGAAGGACGAAAAAGAGGTTGTTCATCGTCGCGAGGTGCGCGCTACCCTACCGGCAGATTGCGTATCGCGATGAGGCTAAACAGACTACCAGAATACGAGAGCGCCGGATCAGCTCGTGGCTGTTATACCTACAGCCGGCGAATGGGGCCAGGAATCACTAGTCATTCCGAGCGACTTGGATTTATCTGCCCAGCTCTTGGGAGACGTATCGATTATAGCCTTGCAGACTTGACCACTCTTTTCCCTGCCCCAGCATGCAGGGTGCGACATGGGTAACGAGGGGCAGCGAATGGATACGATCGTTTAGATTGCATGAAAAGCCACGAATCGTCTTTGCAGGACCCGTGTGCGGCTGAGATCCTTGTTTCAGTTTCGAGGCTGCTAGCTGAGCTTCCGCATGTCAGTGAATGGTGTATAATTGTTTGTGCGATGTTGCATCCTGAAAGATAATGTTATTGTGGGAGCATGTACTAAAAGGACTAAGCTCGTGAATAAAACTGTCCTGCCAGTCAAATTAGCTTGCTGATTGAGCATAAAATGAAGTATTGGCCGTTACCGCGGGCGGCTTACTGATCGTGGGCAATGGAGTGCCTAAACGATTTTGAGAGGATACGGGTCCTAATGCCGGGGCGAAGGATTGGGGGGTACGTGTACGGCTATCGCCTCGAGGCCAAGACTCCAACATCCATGCAATCTTCACATTGCACGGCAACAAAACCAGCACAACACCCTTCTCAATACCGAAGTTTTGCCATGTCTTCTGAGTCGCAGCCAAGGATTCTTCTTTTCGGTGCCGGTAGCGTAGGAACAGTATATCTGTACCTTCTCAGCAAGGTAGCTTCAACTACTGCCGTCTGCCGCTCGAACTACGAAGTCGTAAAGAAAGACGGCTTCACCATTAATTCATCGATATTTGGCCAGAATCTGCACTTCAAACCCAACGTCGTACGGGATTGTGAAGAAGCAGCATCTCAATCGTCGGAGCCATTCGACTACATCATCGTTTGCAGCAAGGCTATCCCAGATACGGTACCGAAGCTTATCGCTCCTGCTGTAACACCTGGACATACAGCTATCGTACTTATTCAGAATGGCGTTGGTATCGAGGAAGAATACCTGAGGGCATATCCGGACAATTCGATCATTAGTGCCGTTGTGTATCTACCTGCCACCCAGCGGCCAGCCGGTGTCATTAAACACGGCGAAGTCGAGCAACTTCAAGTCGGAGCCTATCCGTCATCTGCGGAAGGAACGCATGCGAAAAATTTCACAGAGCTTGTCATTTCTGCCGGTGCTACAGCGGAATTCTATGACGATGTTCAGCAAAAACGATGGTTCAAGCTACTTGTAAATGCGTCCTGGAACCCTATATGTGCTCTTGCTCTGAGCAAAGACACGGATGTACTCACTGCCTCAGAAGAAGCGAACGGTGTGGTTCTAGCCGTGATGCTGGAGATTCGCGATATTGCAGCTGCTCACGGATACGAAATCACATTGGAAGAGGTAAACGATCAGCTCGGGCGGGCGCAGGCCAGGATTCCGAACAAGTCCGGTATCGAACCCAGTATGCTTCAAGATGTTCAGTCGGATCGAAGAATCGAAGTAGAGGCTATTGTAGGTAACCCGGTCCGGATGGGTAAAGAGAAGGGTGTGGCATGTGTGCGGTTGGAAATGCTCTACATCCTCGCAAAAGCTTTGGATATCCAAATCGGACGAAGAAAGTGAAAGTCGGTTCAATTCAGGAACCGTGCATGTAGGTTAATCTCCGTTTCACCCCAAATGTCTTACTTGGTCGTGGATGTGTATCATCTGTTCTATGCACCAAGTCCAGCGAGTCCCACGTCAACGATGCCTTCATAGCACCATCCTTTGAAAGGGCGTGCTCCTCTACACGCAGATATCGTTTAGGATATGATGATCTGACTTCGATAAGTTCCATCTCTGGTCATCGTCCCATTCACTCCCCACTCGCCACCGATATCGCGCCAAGCCCTCCGTTTGTCCAGCACCGCAATTTGCGACTCGCTTCTGCCTTGCGATATCAGTGTTATTGTTTCCGTAGTGAATTGGCATCTGAAACGGACCCAGCCACGGTCGCAGCTGAAATATCTTTTTGCCCACGCACAGTATAACACATTTCCTCATCGCCCAACCTTCGCTCGACTGCGTGCAACCGTACGTCTACACGCTCCAACTCTGGTATCACGACTATCAGAACATCCGCAAGGCATTGTTTGATCCTGAGAGCCCGTCATGCCCCTCTTCCCGAGCTCGTGTGTCGCACGTTTTGCCACCAAGATGCATCCTGACACTATCGCTATTCTTTTCTGTCTTCTCCTAGTAACTCTCGGAATCGGCCACACCGTCGTGTCCTCTGAAGTTGTTCCCAAGGTCATCGACTGTCTTAGCGAGGGTTTCGATGAACTATACTGGGAAGTAAACTATCTTTACTGGAACGTCTGCTACGAATATAGCAATAACGGAATCCCAACCTGGCTCCGCGTCCTTGGCCTCCTCACGGTCGGTGTATGTACACCACGTGTGCTCGCTGAGTTTCTTTTCAAGTTAGGCGTCTTTTCCGTCGTCCCCAAGAACAACCTCCATGAACTTGCTGGAAGAGGAGAATCGCAGAACATGAAGAAGACTGCTACTCCCGCCTGCACCCCCGTTATACCAGCATCTCCAACACTAGCGCAAGAAAAACCAGCTCCCCCCGCATATCCGTCACCCTCTCAATTCCCCTTCAAAAACTTTCGTGGAACCGGCGAGTCATTCGCGCATCTCGATCGGAACAGATCGATGCAGTATCCAAAGATTTGGGGACAACTACGCTGCGCTGACCGCAAGTGGATGGCTATGTTCATGTATATGCCAGGAGCATATATGTCTACAGACGACAAGAACGTCGACACGGAAGATACTACGTCGAAGCCTCAGCATGTTGTGGAGTCTGCGACGATCAATATGAAGGACGATGTAGTTGTCACGCCTGCTCATAAGGCTGTTGAACTATCTGTTCAATCTGCTCCCAGGACGATACCAACGCCGACTGCTTACACGTTGGCGCCTTCATGTGAACTTCGAACAACTACAACGTTCACTCCGGCAACTGTTTACAACTGTCTACAAACAGCGAATTCGGCAAGAATGACGATCGAGTACCACGCAACACAGGCGCCTGTTCTTCAGGCTGCGATGAAGGCTTTCCTTATGGCCGCCGATATCAAAACCGAATGCAGTTCTTCGGCAGGTCAGATCTTTAGCTTGATATCGAGTGCGGCGAATGACCTGAAGCCCTACTTCGAGAATGGTATGACTGCGGAACAGTCCTCCGGTCTTCGTTGGAACACCTCCATAATTGAGTTCTGGATGTTCTTAGTTCCTGTAGGCTGGTACATTCAAATGTATTGGGGCCCAGAGCTTATAACCTTCCTTGAGCTGTATCGTGAGTTCGCAAACTATCTGGGTTTGGAGGAGATGATCCAAGACTTGGATTGTACTGAGCCCCTACCATCACCACAAGCTCTTCAAATCGTGGTACAGCCAACTCAAACGCCCCACGATCACTTGCCGCAGGTGGCACAAATGCCCTCGTGGTCGACGCCGCAGTACAATGTAGCACCAACCATCTCTAACCAACTGCTGTCATATCAGCCAGTGGTTCGACAACAGCTGCCGCAATTTCCTCCATCGAGTACGCAATTTCCGCCAGCCTCCAACATGCAGACACAGATCCAAAATGCCATGACTACTGGATGCAACCCGACTACTGCGGACCCCATCGCATCGCAGCCGCAAAATATGCCGAACAATCCCAACCCTTCCTCAGTACAAAGCCAGACCTTACCACCAGTGGACTTCAAAGATATTAACACATGGTCTGGGCTAAGTCATAAGCAGCTGGAGCAGCTCGAACCGGCTTCTTTTGGGTTCAAAACGAATATGGTCGCTGGAAACACATTTTGGAAATTCACTGCTTCTGTTGACTTCCATGAGATCTTGAATGGTAAAGCGCCCAAACAAAGAACTCCTGATTCTGTGAAGGCCAGTTTAGAGAAGGTAGCGTTGAGCTTTAAACGCGCAGCTGTCGTCCTCCGACTACAGGCGAAACTCGGAGACTACAGCAAATACAGCGATACATCTCAACCTACCATCAGTGATATCACAGCACTGGTCAAACGGGCGGCACAAATGACAGATGCTTGTGGTGGTCTCGCGAAGAACGACGCATCCCTGAGAAATTGGAAAAATGCATGTGTCTTCTTTCACAACGCCGTGTACTGCGAGGACAAGGAGGTTGGCGACATACTCGGTCGACACTATGACGATGGCGTGTGGCCTCGTCTCGAGAGGACATGGGAGAAGAACAGAATGAGGTGGATGGACAACTGAGTACTTTACGTGCTACCGCCAAGGGTACATAGGCATCTCTGGTACGTGCTCTTTATCGCATTGATATTTCTGCAGCTTCTAGAGGCGTCCCGGTCTCAAATGACTGGCGTTCTGATCAACGTGCACAACAGCCGTATACTTCAAGGTCTATTTTTTATCTCTCGTTTGTGTACCTTGCGTACCAGCGAAGATACCCAAGTCATATTCATAGTATGACTTTGTTTCTAACGTTCTTGCTCTCAGCAGTCAATATCGGGTCAGCGCATTCGCACCCGCATTTGTTTAGATAGAAGATTTCAATGTCACATCGTTGAAGCGAGGTTTTTCTTGTGAAATCTTGTATTAAGAGACAATCCCTAACTAGATATTCGAAACAAAAGTAGTGTACATTTATCCAAGCAGCCCAGGCACGATCATATCTTGACGATATACATTATTCGTGCCGTATTGGATGAGAGGCGACAAAACGCGCTAAGTCGACTTAAGCAGCGGTAGGGTTGACGTCGGAGCAGATGAGAGCCTGGCCGAGGATGGGGATGAGGCAGCACTTGGCCTGCTGACCTGCAGAGGCGCATCCATCAATGAAGGCGTTGATGGTGGTGGGGGTGACGGCAGCTAGGGTAATGTTAATAATCTGATTGTTTAAGAGATAGAGGATGGGAAAGTCATACGAGGAGCGCAGTCCAAGTTGGCAAGGTTTAAGACGTCGGTAGCGCAGCAGACAGGATTGCCGGAAGCGCAGAGTCCAGCCTGGCGCTCATCGAGGGGAGCAGCGAAGGCAGCGGTGGCAGCGAAGGCGAGAACGGCGGTGATGGTGAACTGCATTTTGAAGGTTGATTGGTTGGTTGATTCTTAAAAGAAGGAGGTATTGGTTTGGAAGTGTGTTGTAGAGTTGTTGATGTGGATTGATGGTGTGCGATGATGTTCCAATTGTCGAGATCTCGTTGCTCTCTTTATATGTTCTCAACCCTCAATTTGTTCAGGGTTCATTTCAAGTACACCACACTTGGTCGCATTGACATCGTCATCAAACACCAGCATTCCCAGAGTACGATCGTCATCGCCGCCAGGGGATCAGGTCAGAACGGGAATGCACGTCCATAACGGTCAACATAACGGTGACGGGGTCCACCTGGCGTCCCCAACTTCTTCATGGCGAGTCTGTACCCGGTAAAGAGTGACGTCGATCGAAGCGGGTTCAGCTTTAATGTTCCTGGCTGATCCTGTTGACTGGTTGGTACCGAGGGTGGAGCATCTGTTAGGGCTGTTGATCTCGAAACGTGCACGGCTGGAGTTGCTGTCGCATGAGGAATGGATACTGTTAAATGTAGATCGATACCGGAGGTTTAACTGTTCGTGGTAGGGATCAGATACTGAATGCGAGGTGTTTACAGACTGGGCATCTTTTGGCTGCCCCTGGCGCGTAGTTTTGCGGCAGGGTGTCCTAGCTGTACGACCGGTGGTGGCACAATATTATCATCGAGCCGCTCATAGGGGCTTGCGACTGCCCCGAATATTGCCATAGGGCACTCAGACACCACCTAAGATCTGAGGCTTCAGCGCCAGTGACGTACATGGAGCTGGGGTGCCGGCTAACGGAGCACTCGCTCACAGACCTTGCATGATGCTCATCTCCGAGCGTTAAGTTCGTAGTCAACTCCTGCATAGCCAAGTTGTTTTATGTGGTCCATTTACACGGCATTCACGATGGGAATTGTATCAATGCAAGCATGGGAATGCTCCCCGACACTCTGGTCACAGCTTCGCCATCTCTCAATGATCGACTTGGTGGAGGCGAAGCTCTGATGTTACCCACATCATGCGTTTATCTCAAATCTTTCTTTAGCAACCGGTAGATCTCCATTGACTGATGAGCCACAGCGAACAGTGGCAAAAAGCTCTCAACCGCCAACGCGTCGCTGAGGCGTGCTCGCATACAAGGAGGGTGTGTGACGAGGTCTAGAAAAACAATCGAAACGTGGGGCTAAGGGGTCTGACAGGGTGCGGTGACGAATGGAAATCTAGAGCCAGCTTCTAAGGAAAACCCTGTAACACGATGAAAACCTGGTGATGGTTCGGTTAGCGGGTGATATAGCACAAGGATGAGAATGTATAGGCATGTACAAACAAAGAAGTATATCTGATTCTGCAGTTCTCGCAGGGCTGGCCATTATATCCGAAGACTCTATTAAAGTTCAGGTAAGGCAATCCGTAGTCATCCGGTAGGCACAACGGTCGATTTAATCGGTCCTAAATTGTCGAAAAGAACGTCTTCAACTCAGGAGACGTTGTGAAAACGCTTGGAACGGAACGTTGCAGGTGCATGCCCAGGCGGCCGTTAAGCCCCACACGTCCACGCCTTACCTCATTCAGGCGTGACAACCCGACCTCGCTTACATGGATCTACGTCACAGCAGGACCGGTTCCTGACAGCGCAACAAGATCTAAACAAGTCGTGCAGAAGGATTTACATCATTGCCATCTGGAGAGCCAATAGCACAGAGCGCTCAATGTAACTGAAGTAAATTCTTTCAGGTGAATTGCATTCTTCCACGCGATCCTGTCAACGCGACAATAGCGTCCTGGCAGCAGTGGCGCAGAGGCGAAACCGCGAGCGGACCCTCGGCAGCTGAAGGCGGTAAGTGTAGTCTATGTAGCGGACAGTCGGCAAACCTGACGCGACGCGACGCGATGGGAAATGTTGGGAAGCAAGCTTCCGCGTCATGATGGGTTGTGGTTATGCGCAAGCAGAGTTCAACACACATAAGGGTTTTTGTCACCATACCCGAAGCTCCTCGGCAGCAGCTCATGCTTTACGCTTCTCCTTTGTTGAGAAATTTCACTGGAACACATGGCAACAAGCCTCATTTTTGGCACGTCCATATCTTGAGATGCTAGTTCCAACTTGTCCACTGTCCAATCCGAACTTGACCAACTTACCCTTCACACTGTTCGCATCAAGACTATAAGGCCAAGTACGTTCGGCGTTAAACAGTCGTGAGATGATGAGAATTATCGAGACGCAACGGCAGTATTGAGCGACACATTGAGTGTCTCGAAAAGCCTGAAGAATGTCAGCGGATCAGGCACCTAACTGACCATGTTCACTGCAGGAGAGTGCAACAATTCAAGGATCTCATAATAGTGCGTAAGCCAAGACGCCTCCTTAGCCACCCTCGACTGATGGTTGCATGGAGTCAATATCAGATTCAGCTCCTCCGTCCTCTTTTGGAGTTCGCTTGACCATGTAAAAGGTAAGGTAGAGAGCATGAAAACACCTGGAACTTGTTTAGCCACCGGGCGATATCAGATCTGTCCGTGGCTCAAGACTTTGTTCATTGTTAGAAGAGGAAACGCAATGAACGGGTCATAGCCGGTGTTGATCGGTGCGTCGAACTGTCTAGTGCTGACCAAAGAGGCACTTATGTCCGCGTCACGAAGCGACATATAGAGAGTGTTTTCGATCCTCGGCGTCATAGCAAGATTGAGACTGCTATGTAAACCCGCAACGGCCAAGAATGTTATGGATCAGCTACTGTCTCACTGACAGTCTAGTTGTACAAAACCATGAAAGCCGTCACCAAGCTGCTGTCTCATTCAGAAAGACATGTACCGTCCCAGCAACGATGACTATACGGTTGATATGTGTGCTAGCGACAGCCTCCTAGAAATTCACAGGCTGAGTTTTAGAGCAGATCGTTTGCTGAGTGCGTGCTTGCTATGATTGCACGATATGCCTTGTTGGCTGGAAGGCGAGACGTAAAATCTAGATTGACGATAACAACGGTATCGTGTACGGGAAATCAGACAACGTTGCGAATTTCCATTAAAAGATCTCGTTGAGAATATGCAGTACTGGTATCAATATTCTCCAGTTTCAGTAGGACTAAGTGGACAAACAGAAGGATACAAAAAACCAAAGCGAACATTGTCTCCATTTATTGCATAAACTCGAACATTCTTGACAAAGACAAAATCGACTGCGTCCTGATTGGTGAGAAGGCTACGGCAAACGAGTGCATGGCGCTTATCCCAGTGCAGATGCTAACGCTGGACAGGGCTCTGACAGAAAGACATCGTAGCAACGAAACGAGATACTAGCCTCCGCTCAATTACTCCAACCGTTCGTAACGGGCGGATCTACCCCAGATCACTCGAAAGCATCTAAATATCCCCAGAGCTAGGCTTGAACGATCCGGCGAGCGTTCGGCTGGATCCCATGTCTCAGCGCGACGGTAGCACCACACTTAGGCACGTCCTGGAGTGCATAGGGCTGAGATATCTGGGGTCTAGTCTCTGTGCTACGTCTGGGCATGACTAAGAGTAAGTCCAGCTTTCAACGTCGAAGGAAATGAGAGGGAAGATGGTGCGAAGCTACATGCGAATGTGGTACATGTACGCTCTCTTGCCTGTGGAAGGTGTTGGGCTGTAAAGGACATTTGTAGTCCCTCTATATTGTTACACCAATGGTATCTTGTTGGTCTGGCTGGTTCACTCGGCATGTACTGTGTAGCCACTATGCTGAAGCTTGTCCTTCACGATGATTGCGGGAATGTTGCGATGGCCAGAAGCCACGATAGACTCTCAAGCTGGGTATGTACGGAACACAACTTCAGCATTACCTCAGCATGCTAGTCTCCTGAGTACGACGGATGAAGAGCTCTCCAACTGCCGGCTGGAGAATGGGGTAGGATGGAGAATGCGGTGACATGCGACGGAGTCATGATAAGCCTGATGGGGTTTTCCGATGGGTGAAGTCTGATTCGCACAGCGCCAAGGCCGTCACCCGATGAAGGGCCGGCCCTCACACTATACCTAAAAAATGTTGCCGCCACAAAGTTCCCCGAAAATGATACAGCTAAGCTGCAGATTTTTCCTGCTGGGAACGCAAGGAACGGCCAAGCTACACATTCCACACGGTAATCCCGCGATAAGCATTGCCGCTTGTACCTTCGCGATCAAGGGGACGCGAACTGGCGGCGCCAACCCGCACGTAGCCGACCTAATCCCGGCTCGAAAATTTCGATCACCCTACCGTCACGGTTCAACTTCTGCATCTTGCGCGGCGAAACGAGTGTGTTGCCCGCCAAGTGGAGCGACGATGAAAATTTGGACGGTCGACTGGCTTTCCAGAGCGTGGAGTACGCCGACGGCTAACATGATGGCTCATGGAGTATTGCGCGATGACTCCACTTCCTGTGACCGTGTGTTTGATTGAAATATCGATTTTGTCCCTGGCTCTTGCGCCTTTGACATCAACCATCACGACTTCGTTGTTGTTGTGCACCTTTTGAAGCTCAAGCCCTGTCTTCGGGTTCTTTGCCGACACCACCACCAACATGGCATCCGCCTCTGAGGAAATTACGCCCAAGATGGACCAGCGGTCGGACAAATCGGTCTCGCACGCAGCGAGCGACGTTGAGAAGCAGGCCGCTCCCCCCAAGGATGAGCTACAGCGCAAGCTTTCGTCCCGACACTTGCAGTTCGTAGCTATTGGTGGCACAGTAGGAACTGGTGTCTTCATCGCCAGTGGTGGCTCCATCGCTACTGCTGGTCCTGCTGGAGCACTTTTGGCTTACGTTTTCGTTGGTACCCTGGTCTACTCTGTCATGCTCAGTTTGGCTGAGATGGCTACCTACCTACCCATTTCTGGTGCATTCACACAGTATGCTGCTCGTTTTGTCGACCCTTCGCTAGGTTTCTCCATGGGATGGATTTACTGGTTCTCCTGGTCTATCACATATGCGCTCGAACTCACAGCCGCTGGTCTTATCATCCAATGGTGGGACTCGGACCTCAGCATCGGCATTTTCATCACCATCTTCTGGGTACCGATCACGGCTGTTAACTTTTTGCCTGTCGATATCTTCGGAGAATTCGAATTCTGGTTCGCGCTGATCAAGGTCGTCGCCCTTGTTGGCTTCTGGATCTACGCCATCTGCATGAACGCAGGTGTTGGTGCGCAAGGCTACATCGGCTTCAAGTACTGGAACTCCCCCGGTGCTTTCGCCCCTTACCTGGCCGAAGGACCTGTTGCCAAGTTTGTCGGTTTCTGGGCCGTTCTCATCCAGGCCGGTTTCGCGTACCAGGGTACTGAGCTCTGTGCTATCGGTGCTGGAGAGTCCGCAAACCCCCGTGTTACTATGCCTCAAGCCATTCGCAAGACTTTCTGGAGCATCTTCACCCTTTTCGTTTTCACCATCTTCTTTGTCGGTATCCTGGTCCCATACGACAACGAGGCTCTCCAAATTGGTGACACAAACGCTGGCTCATCGCCCATGGTCATTGCTTTCCAACTCGCCGGTGTTTCCGCCCTTCCTGATATCTTCAACGCCATTCTGCTTACCGTGGTGCTTTCAGCCGCCAGCTCCAATGTCTACTCCGGCTCTCGTATCCTTGTCGGTCTTGCGGAAGAGAGGTGTGCCCCTGCATTCCTCAAGGTCACAAGCAAGCGAGGTGTCCCATACTGGGCAACTGCAGTCACTGCTGCCATGGGTCTGTTGGCCTACATGAACCTCAGCGCCAACGGTGGAGAGGCGTTCAACTGGCTCCTCAACATCGTCTCAGTCGCGGGTTTCATCGCCTGGACTTGTGTACTAGTCTGCCACATTAGCTTTATGCGCGCACTTAAGGCCCAAAACATTGACCGCGACACCCTCCCTTTCAAGTCATGGGGCGGCCGTCCTCTCGCCATCTACGGTGTTACTTTCACTGCCATCATCACCATCACCCAAGGTTTCACCGCGTTCGTCCCGTGGAGCACTGAAGACTTCTTCATTGCGTACATTAGCTTGATCCTTTTCGCCGTCCTTTACCTTGGCCACAAGATTGTTACCAGGAGTAAATTCATCAACCCTGCCGAAGCCGATCTTCTTACTGGAAAGTTTGAGGATGAGATGAGCGAGACTTGGGAAGAGTCATCTGCCTCAGGATGGAAGAAAATGATGAACAAGTTCTTATAGGCATTGCTCCATGCTTAGACCTTTGTAACGAAAAGTGTTTTGGATTCAATCCGATGGCATAGCGCAGCGTTTAGAGCATTGCATGGCGTTTTGATTTCTAGCGTTTAGGTTGCAGATACCAATGTTAATGTTTACTCACTTCACACTTTACTCCCTGGTCGTTTGTGTCTAGTCCTTCGATTCGGATCAACAGAACTTCTCTTGTGTTTATTCAACTGTGTGGCTGTGCAATGATCATCTTGATCATCTTCAGTCTGTTGATCTACACCGCCACACTGTGGCTATGTTGCCATGTTTATCCACCATCATGATCGACCATACAACACGCTAGGCTACTAGGTATCAAGTCCATCATTGTACGCCAGTATTGCGATGTTCGTCTAATGTCCATCAGTAGGAAAACAGGTTGGGTTGATCACTAAAACTTGACTGAGGTACGACACGCGCAGAGTGACGTGGTGGGCGTCTTGAGCCAAGCCTGCAAGTCGAAGATTGTACTGTTTTGAAACCTCAAATTCATGTTCTCATGTTGTGGTATCATGCTACATTGTCGTACAATCCAAACATAACTCCATCGCTAAGTAAAAACATCGTGATCAACTCAAAACCAGGTCCTCACCCCATTACGCGCTGACCGCTGGCTACCACTCACAATCAACTGAGATACCTCGTCTTCCCTCTTCTAAGGCCACAGCCTCACAACTTCTACAACACCCAGTCCCAGCGCAGCTACCTGCAAGACGCGGCTTGGCGATAGCATGTCCGACGCAGCGCTGCTGGAGTTTCCCCCACTTCCCTTGCCTCCTTTTCCTCCTTTGCCACCGCTGGATGATCGTTCTTCGAGCTGGACTTCTGGCGCTGTAAGCCCATCGCGTGCTGATAGTGCGTTGCGGAATTGTTCGCGAGTCTCGATGGTGACGGGCTCGGCCACCGCGTCTGGGTTGGCGATGGGAGCCGGGCTGGCAAGCGCGAGAGTCGCAAAAAGTAGAATTGTTGCCGCGGTAAACTTCATTATGGATGATGATTGAGGTAAGTTTTGAAGAAGAAGATTGCAGGGGCAGCGGTATAGAGGTCGGAGTTTTGTAGATTGACCACTTTATCAAGATTGCTTGTTTGATAGATATGTCGTTGGAAAGATATTTTCGTATTACTTGAAGCGTACTGCGAATGTTTTGTAGGAATGTACAAGAACAGCGGCATGTGTTGGATTTATGTATTGTAACTACAAGCGGTGTGCCCTATGATGCACACCATGGACGCCTTATACACAGCCTGTGAGATCGCCAACACAGCCTGCTTCTAACCTGTCGCGACACCTGTAGTGGTCTGTGACGTTGGTGAAGTTTGCACCAATAGCGACAGCTCTATGCGACCAATCGTAGTCAGCGGGGAAATTGGCTGACGACTTGGCTTTCTTGGCAGTCAGCTGAACAAACGTCCTGTCCCGCCTTCGATCGCCTGTTGACAGAGCTTGTAGGACCCGAGTTGGGTATCGCGTCGTGTGTGTAACTCACTCGACTCCCAACCAGTCGATCTTCTTAACAAATGACAGCCTTGGGGGATACGTGTATCCTGGTGTAGGATTATATCTTGCCAGCTATGCGGCTAGTGAAGATGAGCGGAGGGATTTTCCATGTCCTGGTAGTTTAAGCCATTCAAGGTTGTGGCTGATGGGGCCTTCGCGAGCGTGGAGTTGGTTGTGTACGAACAACTAGCAAGACGTTCCCGAGCGCGTCCCGTACGACCCCGAAAGGTTCTGTTTGCTCTCTGAAGTGTACTGGTCCTTGTCCTGACTGGCAGGTATATGCTGGAGGCGAATGGGCCATGCACGTGGTTGAGCTGACGAAGCAGGAGAGTTTCGCATTGCCTTTGGAAAGAACTGCCGTGCCATCGGACGAAGAGCAGCAATGCTAACGAAGATGATCCCTAAACTGCATTCTCCTACTGTCAGGATAAGACATACGACGCTTTGATCTAGACGTTTGTTAGCTAATGTCTCCGAACTGGTTTGACAACATCCACGCAAGTCCTGCGGCTAACCGACACGATGTGTGTTTCTTTGGTTGCTAGATCCGAGAAGGACCTACTGCTGACGCTTAAAGTAGAGGCTTACTTACAGGTAACATCCAAGACGCGTAACTGGTGTAGATAGGCAATGCGGATAATACCTACAATGCATGCGCTGCGGTGGGTCAGCATGGTTCGACAGCATGCCATATATGCTTTTGACACACCTTGCACCTCCTGCTAAAAGCACACAGAGAATGACTCGTTGCTTTCTTGGTAGGTTCAACTTCCAAAGATGGGATAAGGGTAGCACAAAGAGGAGGATATCCGTCGCGACATTGACAGCGGAGCTAGCATAGAGATAGGTCACGTAGTCCACGCACACTGGTTCAATAGTGAAGTTCCACGCTCCTCGGACAGGACGGCACTGGAAGATGGTGACAAAAACTCCTGTAGATGCTTCAGCACGTGTGAACATGCGGGAGGCATTGTGTGTCTTACCCGTGATGAACAGACCTAGGATGATCACAGATATCCCGTACAACGCTGCGCGGAATGATTTGTCGGGGATGAAGCGAAGGTACTGTGATATGATGGCGAGTTTCGTCAACGCAATAGCGAAGCAGTATAGCACCTGGCAGACGAAGAGATACTGCAGTGCATTAGTCGCTGCTCTTTGACTTCGGAATGTCAAACTTTCTGGCTACCGAACGCTAGCTAGGAACGTGGCCCTTGAAAGTGTGCTTGTACTTACCAGTATACAGTTCTTCAGTGTGTCAAACAGCGTCGGTATAGGCAATAGCCAAATATGTCGCCCAAGACCATGGTGAGTTGCTACGGTACCGTTAACCCGAATCAATATACCAAACGGTTGCTGCTTACCTGCGATGCACATTCCCGCTAGAGCGACCGTGAAGACCGCGGCTAAGATGATGAGGACTGTAATCCGTTAGCCATGACCTCTTGTTTTCTGTTTAACACGTACCATCGTCTAGGAAGATATGCCGAACGTATCTTGCTCTAGAGAAGATTCGTAGAGCGACAGTCAAGACGACCAGGGCGATAAAAACGGTGCAAGTTATTGTAACAGCACCAAGTCGTGATGAGTGGTCGCTGAAATCGAACTGGCTGATATCGACTTCGATGCCACCGAAGTAAACGGGGTCCAGATTAGGACCTGACTGGCTCGCCATCCTGCAGGGACTTGGTATTCTCTGACAAGGTGTTCAGAAAGAGTACGGTCCGCGTCAAGATGTATGAAATGAAGAATCCCATGGGGATTTGAGTCGCCGAAGAACTGGGCCGCGACCGGCGCATTGTTAGAGAGTCGAACCGTCTGCAATAGATGCGTAATAGACGGGTTGTAACTTTGATCGTCCTTAGTGTCACCTAAGACCACGTCCGGTATGTGGCGTCTTTCATAACTTTGGGTGAGACCATACTATTATCGGCCGACTACCGCCGGTGAATGCAACACTAGAGGTTAGTCCAGAACGTGGCGAAGCTGTTCCCCGGATGAAAAGCAAGATGTGACCCAGATACTTGGAACTCTAACTAGGTAATGTGCTGGATAGACTTTTGATGCCTTTCAAGCTGAACTCCTGCTCTCGTATCATCGAATGACAGGGCCTCTACGATGCAATGATAGATGAGTTGTCTACCGATGTTAGGTCCCGAGGTTCGAGCTATTGAGGGTGTGCGGCCCTGCGCTGTGCGGCTAGGTGCCAACCTCCTTGACTCCCACACCCTTCTAGAGAAGAACGAGCCCACATCACCTTATGCAGGCACCAGTAGAGTCGATGACTGGTTCAGGGCAAACCGCACCGTTGCTTTCACAACCAACCATCTACGTGATTGGCCATGATAAAGAGACTGACAGGACATATACCTAAGACATAGTGACCCAAACGTTTCGGGCGACCATGCATTGTCGATCCTAGATGGGTACAATAACCGTGTCATTGAATTAGTAGCGCTCTGTGCAGGGCCGAGGTCAAATGGTGTGTAGTATCGCTGGCTGACTTGGGCATGGTGAAAGTCTATTGCAGATGGATCTCCTGTGGCGTCATTTGACCCGCGATCGCTCCTTTCCGCGTTCTACGACGGTAGGTGATCCCATTTGTTGGCAACAGTCACTAAGATAGTTGTAGCTCTTCAATAGCTGCTCTCTCCTTCTCGCCACGCGTCCAGGTGGTTGCAAATTGGATAGGATACCAAGGTAGGTCGCACACAGCAGGTGGTGATGCGATTTGGCTGAGAAGCGCATATTCACCATTCCGATAGCCACGCGGTGGCAGCGATATGTTTCGATGAGAAATCTAAATGTGCGGGCAGGTGCCTGACAAGCAGACCATGGCGCCTGACTACGTTGACGGCGTGCGACGATGAGTGCGGGATGGGTAGAGAAGCGTCCTGACGGGACGCATCCTGACGGGTCGGGTTCGTGTCCGGGATGCTGATCCTGTGGGCTCCATGGCACGGACTTCAACGCCTCTTCTCCCCACCAAGGTCACAATCATCCATCTTTTAAGGTATCCGTGCATCTCCATCGATTTGGCGCAAACCTCAATGAATCGCGAACATCTCCATGCATGCGCTCATTTCCACAAATGTATTGCGCACTGTTACATACCTTTTTTGTTGAGCTAAATCTTCTCATCTCCGCGGCGCTCACTAGTCAATATGTTCGCCCAGCAAATTATCCACGGGTGGCATAACCTTTCCCCGAGTATTACTCACCAAAGTTCCAGGTCCTAGAACTCACCTCATATCCGAAATGGTTGTTCCTGCGTTCTTAAGTCACTCCCAAGAGCCTTCCAAGAGCCCCTGCATACCTTCATCCTCGGTATACTCATATGTAGTTCATTGCGTCATATGCTGCCCAACCGGGCTGAACCATGCCTGCCACGCGGACGATACAATCAATGCATAGGTATAACTACACCTCAGGAACAAGAGATGCATGGCTACGTACCCCCGGCGGTGGTGGCTTCCGCATCTTGGCGACCTCGACAACAGCGGAGCCCCGGAAGACGCGTCTCCTACCGCACGTGGGGAGCTTGGCCAGCGGAGACTCAACAAAAAGAGTGGCAGACTGAGGCCTGTAACAAGTAAGGCCAAGTTGACAACTGCCCAAGTATATGGGATAGAAGGAGGCTGAGTCGCCGACAAGACGCCCTAATGATGCCGAGTTCGAATGAGCGATAGGTGCCGCGACAACGCCGATGCTTGAACCCGGAACCATGGGCGGGAATGTCGTCTTTGACGTGCGCTATTCTGAGACATTGGTATATATGTGGAGGCGGGGTAAGGTATTCTTGCTTTAAGAAGCGTGATCTTGTTTCTAAGGTATCCCCGAACTTATCTACAATCGGTAGCTGATATACAATTTGTTGTTGAATTACACTCTGGCATCCCCGGCCTTGCTCGACTCTTTCAATTAGACTCACAATGGCCACATCAACAGACCCGACTGTGCCGCTCCCCACTACGACCGACAATGACGATGATGACGACGATGATGTGACTTCTCTCGCACCTGGACCACCTGGACCACCAGCCCCAACACCGAACGCCTCTACAACATCAGCATCAGTAACAGCAACAGCAACATCATCGTCACCGCTGTCATCTCTAACGGGCATCCCCACTCCAAATTCGACTGATGCCTCAGTTTCCTCAGGCCCAGATAGAGGCCCAGCTGCCACGTCCGGAAACAGCGGACTTAGCGCTGGTGCCAGCGCGGGCATTGGTGTAGGAGCAGCTGTTGGGATAATTCTACTTCTGCTAGCAGGCTGGTTCTTTGTACGGAGAAGACGTTCTGGACTGCTGCGCCGTCTATCAAAAATATCCGCCGTCAGCGGCGGCACTACGCACGACCTAGAGAAGTCCGGGATGGGAATGAGCCCAGAGATTATAGAACATGGAGCGCTTGGCCCGGCAGAGATGGAGGCTGGAAATGCAAGTGAGAGGCGCCCTTCTGAGCTCGCCAGTCCCGTTGTCCCTGTGGAGGCTGCTGGTGATCGAAGATTTGCTGCAGAATTACCAGGCTCTGAAGTTCCTCCAGCAGGCGTGAGGAAGGGAAGTAAGGAGCGGCTGTTCCTAGATTCGCCGATTGATGAAGAAGAAGGCCGGTTCGAGAAGGACTTGAGACCAATCGACGAGAAGAAACCACCATTGTGATAACAGACATGTTGTATGCTAGTGTCTCGTTTATCCGTTATAGGCGTCATCGGAATATACCCATATTAATCCATCCGTTATGGCTGGCAGTGTCCGAGATCTGATAGACCTTCTTGTGTGCGGCTGAGAACGTCGACGGTTCTGTCATGTTTGCTTCGTTCGTGGAAAGTCCCACAAGATCGTCGATCAAGTGTTTGTGTTCTCGCGATGACCCAATGGGAAATGCGCATTTGGAGGCGGTGAAATTGGTGAAGCATCTTGCGAGGAATAACACCATGATGAGCGTAGTAATGGTGAAACCTCGCCAGAAGAGGCTTCAGGTGGTGAGACTGTGAGCAGCGGTAGGCGCGAATATACGGCCCCAATGGTAGGGCCTGAAGGCTCCGGCTCAAGTGCCATACTCCACGTTCTCCATTGCTCGAGTTTCTGGGCGTACAACTCTTCCGCTTCTTTCGACTTGTCGTAGTGGTTGTCGTTTCCGTCCACTTCTTGCGCAGCGGTATCGCCGTGCAATTCAGGTATCTGACCTGCATCCAGCTCATAGATGATCTGAGCATCTACTTCGACAGGTGGTGGCGGTGGTGGAGGTAATGATGGTGAAGACGCAGGCGTGGCGGCCCACCAAGCCTTCTCTTGCGGTCCGGCTTCGGCATCCATGATCTCTGCCTTTGTTGTATGGAGTTGTGCTCTTCGAGCTAGTACTCGGTTTCTCCGTCTGATGGCAAAGAAAGCGAGAATGGCAATAACGACGACCGACACGGAACACGCTACTCCAATGGCAATACCACGCTTGATACCAGGGAGTGCCAAGTCGGTTTCCAGAGCAGTTTCTGCCTCAGTCGTCGTCGTTAGGTTCGAAGGTCTCGTAGTGGGCGATGGTGCGAACGTCGCCATGGTTGCGGGATTCACTTGAAGCTTCGCATATGCATGAGACGTGGAAAGAGGAAAAGTTTAATGCTTCATCGCAGAGTGCGGCTCTCGGGCATATGCAGTACATGATCGGGACATGTATTGCGGCGCAGTTGTGAAGCCTGCATGATCGCCGCACCAGCCTAGCAACAAAACCATGCAAGAGGTGGCTTCGGCGGCTACAGCTCATGAGACTGGGGGTGAACACGCTGCTCTGGACCAACCAAGCCCCGGCGCGTAGGGGCAGTGCAACAGACATGGAACGCGACATAAGCCTCTGTGATGGGTATCACGATAGTTCTCGCGTCGTGGAGAGGAGCTGGGGCCGGTAAGATGTAAGGGGCATGAGGCTGAATGCTGGTGTTGCGGCACCGTAAGCGTGGTTGCGCAACAAGGCGTCACGTCATCGTCTGCCTTCTGAGCATGAAGCCTGAGCAACCACGGATACAATGGTTTCATCAACTGAACGCTTATATTCAGGTCGTCTATTCGCTTTACACCAGTCTTCTCTAAAAGGCGTGAGTGGTTTATTCGATGTAGGGCAAAGCCTTGCGCTAAGCGAGCACCTTCAAACCACATCCTGCGCGACTCTGCGACTGTCCTGGCATGGAACGAAAGTTTGTTTTCTCCACTGCCCTATCCCCGGAAACACGAACTGCCACAAGCTCGGCTTTCCCGCTGTCAGCCACGGGTTTGACGGCAAGCATCATGCTGCTAGGCTGCCTCGGGGTCGCGGGGATCTCAAATCGCTCAGCCTCGCTGGGAGCCTGAACCTCAGTTTGGAAGCGGCCCCATACTTTCACGTGTCTACCTAGTATACAAAGCTTGTCTCAATAAAGATACTTGTGTCGGTGTCTAAAATAACTTCCAAGGCGAGTCAGTTGTTAAGCAGCCGTTCGTAGCAATTGTTCAGAAGACGGTGCTAGATAGCTAATCATTCACGGTTTATCGATAATGCCATGTGGTTTCTACGCCGCCTCCAATGCAACTTGTGCAACCAGAACTCTTTGACTTTGACGCTCTCATTGTGAGGTAGAAAACTCAAACGGCTAACATGATAGCATGTGAATCTGTGCAAAGAAAGATGTCGCGAAAGGAAGGCTGGAGTGGAGAGTCAGTCTAGGTCCAAGATAGATTAGCGCAGCGGCGGATGACGCTAGGCCGAGCCTCATCCATGTCCCCCCAAACGCGAACATCGGCGCATTGGTTCCACGGCGACACAGCAGTTTAACAGCTGCGCGCATGCGATATTGGTTGATGCGCATGGGCCCAGCATGAACGAAGAGGACGACTACGAGAATGGCAACAGTGAGAATATCCAGCCCTCTCCACATAGCTGTCGACTGACGGCGCGCAACAGGTTCCGCCGAGGAGGAAGATGAGCAGGAGGAGGCAGATGCCATGGACGTAGACGAGGAAGAAGAGGGCGACGATGGGGATGACGGCGACAACGATGACGACGACGCAGAAGGGGATAACGACAACGACAATGACGATGAGGACCAGGACCAAGATCAAGACCAGGACGAGCCCGACAGCCCTTCACAGCGACCGCGCGGTAGCATACCCAATGGAGGTACGCCTGGACAATCAGACCCAAACCCTGCCGTCACCTTCACATCGCCAAGCCCTCGGGCAGCGGCTTCAGGCGTGCTCGGCAATCTGCCCTTCCGTCCCAGCGTGCGACAAGAGGCCTTGAACGCGCCCATGTACGATATAATACCCACCATCGCCGCCCCACACAGTACCTCGATCAACGCCATTACGGCAACACCGGACATGCGGTGGGTCTTTAGCGGCGGAGCGGACGGCTACATACGCAAGTTCAATTGGGTAGATACAGCCAATGGAAAGCTTGCCCTGACCGTGGCCCAGCGGCATCCTTTCGTCGACTCCGTCACAAAGGCGGGAGTGCTCTTGTCATACTGGGAGAACGAAGACAGTGCCGCAGCCGAGACCTTGTCTCCAGTATACTCACTCGCAGTCCACCACCAAGCCCTATGGCTGCTTTCGGGTCTGGACTCGGGAGGCATAAACCTGCAATCTGTACGCCATCAGGAAGGAACACGCATACATACGCTCAAGAACCACACCTCGGCTGTGTCTGTCTTGACGTTGTCGCAGGACGAGACATCAGTATTGAGCGGTAGTTGGGATAAGACCATCAACGACTGGGACTTGAATACCGGCCAAGTCAAGAGGAAGTTCGAGACTAGCGGCGGTCAGATCTCCGCAATCGAGCAACGGCCGCTATCTACGCTCCCTATACCGCAGGACACAGAAACCCTCCCGCTCTCCAACGGCACTTTCTCTTCCAACAATGCCGCCCGACCCCGACCCAACGGCATCCTCTCCAACGGCGTCGACACAAAGCCCGTCATACCAAAGGAGGAGGGCACAGAAGATGCTCAAGGATCTCCAGACGACTCGTTGTTCGGAGACAAGGACCAGGACTCGTTGTTCGGCGACGGCCAGGAGAACAACCTCTCAGCCACTCTCCCTTCGTTTGGGGACGATGACGACGAGTTCTCGAGAGCCATTGCGAATGGCATACAACAAGCCGACGAAGATGCCAATGCCGATATGGATATGATGGACATGGGCGGTCCTGTACAAGCACCCGAGGAGCCAGCTGCAGAGGAAGCGAAGGAACCCCCAGCAGCCGCTGAGACACAACCAACAACAAACGGAACTGCAGACGCCCAACTCAATGGCACTTCCAACGGCCTGCCACATGCAGAGGATACCGAGAAACCTGCTGCCACGTCCGCAAACCAAACCGAACAGCCAGCTTCCTCCGAGACAACCTTTGTCGACGCGTCAATGGACGGCACATTACGTATCTGGGACCGCCGGCAACCAAACCCGGTCGCACGCATAACACCACCACGAAATACACCGCCGTGGTGCATGAATGCATGCTGGTCACCAGACGGCAACTTCATCTACGCTGGTCGGCGAAACGGCACAGTGGACGAGTACAGTCTACACAAAAGCCTACGAGAACCGCGACGAACATTCAGATTCCCCAGCGTAAGTGGCACTGTAAGTGCCGTCCGGGCTATGCCCAATGGACGACATCTCATTTGGTAAGTTGACCACACACCCCCTTCATATGCGCACAGATACACGTGCATCGTGAGACAAGTGCTAACGTACACCAGCGCGTCATACGACATCCTGCGCCTCTACGATCTCACACACGACGAGGCAGGCCCGAAAGCCGGCGCGGCTGCAACCCCCTTCTTCATCGTCCCCGGACATCGCACCGGCGTCATATCACAACTATACCTCGACCCAACCTGCAACTTCCTCATCTCAACAGGTGGAAACAGAGGCTGGGAGGGAGCATCCACCGAGGTGATGCTTGGCTACGAGATCGGCATCGGGTCTTAGCATGGAAGCGTTCTGATACTATACCCATTGTTCGCGGCGTTTGGAATGGCGTTCCTTGACAAGGTGGTTTGCGTGGGCTTTTGTGATTGGGCAATAAGAGTAAAAAGTCAAGAGTTGAGAGTCTAATGTGTAAGGGTCGTGACTGCAACGCGTGTGCTTAGTGACGTTGAGACTTACGCAAGTGCTGATGTCGAGAAATTACGACGAAGCCGTTAGGTTGAAGCTTATTCTTCTTTTCTTTTTCCTCTGTCTTGTGCTTGTTGCAACCATTTCGTTTATTCTGCCATTGCAGCTGATCGACTACTTTTAGGAGACTCGGCACTTTCGTACCGCGTCGATTATGTCACGCGGAACACGCGTCCAGCATGATTTTGCGACACCGGAGATGCGGGGTAAGATTGATCAAATCTTTCCCAGAAGCGCTTACCATCCCCCATAGCCCGAGACGATAGGAACATTGCGGAACGAAGAGAGTAAAGAGAAATGACGTAGTCGGTGAGAGCCTCGTCGTAGCAAGGAGAAGCATTGGGCACAAGAGTCGGGTAGCCAGTACGCGCGCGCGCGCACGCAAGTCAAATAATTCTCGGATAGAGAGGGGCGATCTGAGTCCGTGGTGTTGCAGAATTAGAATGGCAGTGGGGCCCTTTCCAACATGCACCCCGCGGACACCACCCCTGGCGTTGGCATCGGCACAAGTCAAGTACCTAACAGGTTGGTATGCCGGCATTGCATGTCGCCATCGGCACGGTGTGTCGGCGTTTGGTGGAGGGATACCAGCGGTGAGCGCCTTGTATGTACGAACGGAGACGAACGGAGACGAACGAAACGAGAGATGGTTGACCAATGACCATCTGCTCGCCCGAAACCGAACGCGCGCGTCATAAAAGTCCGAGGTGGGCCGATGCTGGTCCGATTTGTGTTTCAAGAAACCTGGAACAAAAGAGTCCGAAGTGTCAAAGACCCGCAGGTATGGTGTTTCTTCCTTGGTACAAATGCAGGCAGACGGTTTGGGGAATCCCTGCTTGTGATTTGTAGGCTAGCGATGAAGTTAGCTCCCGTGCGCTCGCGCCTCGTAGATCGTATCGCGGAAAGGAATGGCGGAAATGGCGGTGTAGAGCGGTGAAAGGCATTGGGATATGCGACTTGAAGGACGTTGAGGGACTACGCGACGAGGATGTAGATGTCGGGTGGGAAAACTTCTAGTCTTTCTAGGGTGGTGCCAGCGGTGAGTGGTAGATCACGGTACGCGTGCCACTGCATCGGTCGATTTGTGTAGACTAAGGACCCAATGATTTGAAAAAAGCAAATTGTGTAGAGAGCGCTACTGCGACATGCAGAGTTGTAGTCCACCAGAAGCAGTAAGACGCGGTGCTGTCAAGGCTGTCAAGATGAGAAGCGCTGCAACAGCGACGCCTGCGTAGCGTGGAAGGCCAGTATGACAGGGAAGATTATGCGCTTCGTATACTGTACCAAACTGAGAGAGGACTGATCAAATCAAAACTTGCACGTTGGTTATGCGCGTCAAAGAACGACAAGTTTCTATTCGTAGACGTTATTTGGTTCGCATTAAAAAATAACAGTAGGGGTGT